GTTATTTCAGGGAACTAGGCCTAACTGAGTTCATTTGCACATCAACTTGAAGTATATAATCCAGGAAACATCTTTATTGGCTTTTGCTACATCTCCTTCAAATGTGACGATATTGGATTTGTCAAAACACACTGTTACTTGTCATCCAAAAGAGTATTTGGCACATCTGAAAACCTAAGTGCAGACAGCCACTACACACTATCACTAAATTAAAATAACCCCAATCAGATCCCGCATTCCCACTTCATTGTCCCCACATTCACATTGCATCGATTATCAACGATGCAAACTTCAACAAGAAGAATCCAGCAACACACGGCAGATTCTCATAGCAATTTAGCAGTCAAACAGATGAGGAAGCAATCTTTTTAGAAACTATGACAACTGCATTATGTTATTTCCCCCCATTGAATTTATAAGGCACAGCTACATTTTAATTATAGGCTTGCCTGCTGTGATGACACAGCATTAGCACACAAAAATAAAAACAGCCAAGTTCCACAGCTGGCACTGCCAACAATGGACAGTGTCTATCATGGTGATCAGACGACACTTGGGAATTGTTTACATACTGGCATACCTTCAGAGTTCACACTTCAGTCCTTACTAAAATGAGAGTCGGGGATAGGATGACTCCAGCTATCACATGTGTTCAATATGACAGCTAGTGACTCTTCCATAATTTGGCAGCACTTCATCGTCTCGCCCTGCCAATAAAACACTACTGCGCTGCTGAAATTACACCCTCACAGCTTTACATCTGTCCATTACTGCAGCAACAGCAGGTACTCCCACCCTCGAATGCTTCAAAAAACAACAAGAAGCCGCTTAGCACATTATACCCTTTGACTTCTACCAGGAACCACCACACTGCAGGGAATCCCAGTAGTAGTACCTCTAGTTACGAACTTAATTCGTTCCGGAGGTCTGTTCTTAACCTGAAACTGTTCTTAACTAGAGGTGTGCTTTCGCTAATGGGGCCTTTTGTTGCCGCTGCGCCGCCGGCACACGATTTCCGTTCTCATCCTGGGGCAAAGTTCTCAACTCAAGGTAACTCTTCCAGGTTAGCGGAGTTTGTAACCTGAAGCGTTTGTAACCTGATGTATTTGTAACTCGGGGTACCACTGTACAATTAAATAACGTAGGATGGGGTGGTTGACTCCTGGCCTAGAGGCCAAATCATGCCCCCCACAAATTTTTCTGTCCCCCCACCCTACCCCATAAGACTCCACCCATTTTGGAAGTGGTGCCAATAAGACAAAACATTAAGGAGATACACAGCACTATGTCTCCGGCCAGCTCAGCAAAGTAAAAAAAGGTAAAGGGTAAAGGACCCTGGACGGTTAAGTCCAGTCAAGGCGACTATGGGGTTGTGGTGCTCATCTCACTTTTCAGGCTGAGGGAGCCAGCATTTGTCCACAGACAGCTTTCTGGGTCATATGGCCAGCATGACTAAACCGCTTCTGTCGCAACAGGGCACCATAACGGAAACCAGAGCACACAGAGATACTGTTTACCTTCCCGCCGCAGCGGTACCTATTTATCTATCTGCACTGGTGTGCTTTTGAACTGCTAGGTTGGCAGAAGTTGGGACAGAGCAACAGGAGGTCACCCCGTCGCGCAGATTCGAACCGCCAACCTTCTGATCGGCAGGTCTAAGAGGCTCAGGGGTTTAGACCACAGCGCCACCCGCTTCCTGTGCCAGCTCAGCACCTTGCTCGGAAGGCAGACTGTTCATTCCTGGTCATCAGACTGATCATATAGATTAGAGGGAAGGGGCTGATAATGGATCAACTGAGGAAGGGGGCTCTGTGTATATGTGGGCTACATGCATGCACAAGCAAGATTGCAGGGAGACCGCAGCAGCGCAGCAGCATCCACAGCACCTAGAGGTTTGGCAAAATGTGTAAGTGGTACTCAAGCCAAAACAGGTGTGTTGCAGGAGCAAACTTGGAAGTACCTCCTTTCCACAGTTACCTTCTACCTGTAATGAGGGGAAAGAGGGGGAGCACACACAAATTGTATCCTGGGACAGAGTAACACTTGAACAGGCTGACAGTGTTCTAAGCATCACTCTTCCCCACAAATTATTTCAGCATCCTTACCTGTGTGTCTATCTTCCCCTGCCCCCACAACTGGAGACCCAAATTCTACAATCTTTTCGCTCCTTTTAAGTACATTAATGTACACAATAGTTCTACTTTATGCTACACAAGAACAGAAGTAAGAAGCACTGGGTTGTGCAACATGAAGACTGTACAACAGTCAAGGGGGGGATCCTAGGTGTAAGACTGTACACCAAACCTTGCAGCATCACTCAGTACCTACATGGTCTATAAAATCCACCCAGGCACATACAGACCAACACAACCAACCAATAGAAGAATTGTATTGTACATATGGAATGGTTTGGAGCAAAATCTGAAGACTGATTTCTGGGTTAGTTACTCCTTATCATGCTTTTGTGCATAAAACCACATGGATGGAATGTGTCTGTAAAAGCACAAGATCATAAGTTTGCTGGCATTCTTGATCAACGTGATGAAATGTATGATCATGTGTGTTCATTCCATGGGCATGCATCCATCTGTCTTCTCCAATACAGTGGTACCTCGGGTTACATACGCTTCAGGTTACAGACTCCACTAACCCAGAAATAGTGCTACAGGTTAAGAACTTTGCTTCAGGATGACAACAGAAATTGTGCTCCAGCGGCGCGGCGGCAGCAGGAGGCCCTATTAGCTAAAGTGGTGCTCCAGGTTAAGAACAGTTTCAGCTGAAGAACGGACCTCCAGAACGAATTAAGTACTTAACCCGAGGTACCACTGTACATACATTTCTCTCATTTCACATACCATCAAATACTCAGAAAATCCCTGGTTTGAAACTCACCTCTCTGTCAGATAACTGGATCATGTCACACATTTAGACCATTTGAAAGTGCTACAGAAATGTTTACTGTTACAATGCTCCACTTTTTAGTCTTTAGTACTGGTTTCACTCTCAATGTTTTCACATAAGCATGCGCAAACCATTAACTTGTAACACGCATCAAGGATGCATTTACAAGACCGTCATCCATAGATTAGATACCAGCAAGATTCACCTGTCAAGATTTGCATAATATACGCCTGATGATTGTTATTTTCTCCCCTTGGAATGGCATACTTCTGGATGAAGCGAGAATTTCAACCCACATGACAAACCGCACAGAGGTAGCAAACAAATAAAGAGTGCTGTGACATCTTAAAGCCTTTCACATTGCAACACAAGCAGTAGAAGTTGGTGCACATTAAGGACAGAAGGCACAAAGGTCAACCGTGGGTGGAGCAACAACAAATGACACACAGAACAAATTAATTCTAGTTTTGCCCCAATCCTACCAAGTTATATAACGGGGAGGCTCCAGAGAAGGAAGCCAACGATCAGTGCCACCTCCTGGACTGGATGCAAGGCTGAAGGAGGGCAAGTGGAGACTGCCTAAGGCCAAACTGAGGTTGGTGGTGCACGGCCACCTTTGCCCCAATGAAAAAACCTCTGCTGGACCAAGGTTTCCATAAAGCCCACTTCACCACATAAACTTATCCACAAACAGGCTGCAATTCTGCATCTATTATTATTGGTATCGGGAAGTTTTTAATGTCTGACGTTTTATTACGTTTTAATATGTGCTAGAATAGTGAGCAGGGTATAAATAAATATTATTATTATTATTATTATTATTATTTTCAATCAATGTGTGCAGCACTTTACAGAGTACACGAGTCCCATTTAGTTCAGTGCGGCTTTGCTTCTGAGCAGACACGCCTAGGATTACACGGCACATATGCCCTGTGGAACGCCCTCCCAGCAGATGTCAAACAGATAAACAGCTATGTGGTTTTTAAAAGACACCTGAAGGCAGCCCTCTTCAGGGAAGTTTTTAGTGTTTGAAGTCGTGTCGGTTTTACTATTTTTTGTCGGGAGCTGTCCAGAGAGCTTGGGCCAACCCAGTCCGATGAGTGGCATATAGCTAATAATACTACTACTAATAACAATAATAATAATTGTGTTGTTGTTGTCCGTCTGTGGAGTCAAAACAGAGCCCATGAGCGCAAAAACATGCTTGCACCGGGTTACTTAATAGGATGGATTAGGTCAGGTTTTTGCACACACTCAACCGGTCCTCCCTGGTCCTATTATTTTCACCATTATTGTCCGTGAAAAGGAGGGAGGGTCTCTCGCTTTTCTCCCAGATGCCAGGGGTGCCAACTTGAATAAAATATTGTGTCTGTGTGTGTTTTTCCAGGTAAAGACCCACCTCACATAACCGATCGCATGACGTGGCGCACACGCACCATTTGAAGGGCAGTGCCCATCCACTTTGGGGGTGCCCCCTCGGGTATTTTATGGAGGGGTGGGGGATTGCCACCCCCTCGCAGACACCCGCCCGGGAGGCCTTCCCTTGGCCTTCCCCCCACCCTCAGCCCTAGACAAGCGTCTCCCCTCACCACCCCCAACCCAGCCAGCCAGGTCCCCCCCCCCGGCCCACTCACCCGGCCTCCCGCATGACGTTGCCGTCGCCGCAGTCGCAGGCTCCGCCGGCCTGGCTGCGGAACATGTTGTAGTCGTGTCCGGCGTGCTCGCCTTGGTGGAAGCACTCGGCGCAGAGGCTCATGCAGGGCGAGATGCCGCAGGTCCGGCACCGGTAGGCCACGAAGTTGGCGGTCCACACCAGGCCGCACAGCGTGGCCGGGTCGTAGGCCCGCACCGCCTGCACGAAGCTGTCCCACGGCTCGCCGCCCGCCAGCAGGCAGCGGCACCACGCCAGCGCCTCCGACACCGACTCGCCGCCTCCTCCGGCGGCGCCGCCGCTCGGCGGGCTCAGCACCGTCTCCAGCAGCGCCCGCAGCTCGCCCGCCGCGGCCTCGCTCTCGTCCGCGCTCAGGCTGAGGGCCGCTTTGAGGCGCGACGCCGTGGCCCGCTTCTCCTGGGCGCTCGAGCCCCCGGCGGCGCCCGCCATGACGACGACGGCGGCCTTCTCCCCCCTCAGCAACCGCGACGCAGCTCCGGCCGCCGGGCTCCTTCGCTCGCGGCCCTCTCGGCTCCGCTTTCCCCTCCCTTCGCCGCCTCTCGCGATAGCCGGGAAAGCCGGCGCCCTGCCCGCCCGCCTCAGGCCGCCTCCTCGCCTCGGCCCGCCGCCGCCGCCTCCTTCTGCCGCGGCTGGCTCCTGGCGGCGCCTCCCCGCCCTGATGTTACTGTACACACACCCGCCCCCTCCGGTGTGCAGCCTCCGAGGAACCTGCGTGTTTATACATGTACGTGTGTACAGGGCGGGTTGTTGCCCCTACTAACACGCGTGAAACGCAAAGCGCTCGCGGCGTTCACACGACACAGGTTTCGGCCAAACGGCCCTTTTTCGCGTGTCCACTCAGAAGCGAGACGCGCGTTACGGAGGCCCGACCCAACTCTTTAGCTAGAGGCATAGGAGCCAACTCCTGGGGCCGAAGGGACACCCCACTTTCCATAAAACATTTGAAGCCAAAGTTAATGGGCATTGTGCACCGCATCAGGTGATCGGTCATGTGAGGTGAGGTTTACCTGCCCCACCCCACAATATTTTATTCATGTTGGCTCCTCTGGGTTGTATTATTATTATTATTATTATTATTATTATTATTATTATTATTATATATATCGCCCTATGCCCAGAGGTCTCAGGGCGGTTCACAGAACAAAATCAAGATATAAAGCCATAAAATATATAATCAAAATAAAAGCAACAACCCCCAAGTACTGTTCCCCTAACTTGGGTTACCACATCTGTTTTTGGGGGGACTACAATTCCCATCATTCCTGACCACTGGTCCTGCTAACTAGGGAAGATGGGAGTTGTAGTTCAAACACAGCTGGACACCCAAGCTTAGGAAACGCTGGTTTTAAGGCAAGCATGTCCAAAGTCCATTTCGAGGGCCTAATTCAGCCCCTGTGGCAGTTTATATTATTTCAACAACTTCAATTCTAAAGAGAGCTCACAACCAACAACTTTGGGGTAAAATTGTAAAAAAAGCTCAACAACTTCAGTCCTCAGCAACTAAGATCAGCTTTCACGCATGTTCAGTTCATCAAATCTGGCCCTCTTTTACAAAAATTTGGACAACCGTGTGGTGGCATTCACACGAACGGCCCTTGAGCCACGCATAAGGAAGGTTGATGATGTTTTTTGACCGATAGTCCTTCGCTTCAGGCACCCACTAGATTTGGATGCAGTGCTAGACTACCAGAAAGGTAGAGTAGGCCATGGGCAGAGAGGGCTGCTGCCCCCTCCCCAAAATTAGTAAAATCAAATCTGAGGTTCTATCCCCTGCTCAACAAAAATCCTGGCTACGCCCATGGAGTAGGCACCGGCCTATGGGTTCCATGCCTTTTAGGGGCCCCACAATAACGGATTAAAATAATATTTATTTGTTCTTGCAAGAAAATAACCAAGGAAGGGTATTCCACCATATGTACTGCTGCCTTGGATGCACCCCACTACTGATAGCACTCTGTTAACCTCTGTCGCTGCAGGCAGCGGTATAGAAGGCCCAGCACTAAAAGTGGTGAAACAAATGGTTGCAAATATGCAAAAGCCACAGAAGGTTTTGAATCAATGCGCCTGGGTGTCTTCAGTGCCGGATTACCAAATTGGCAGAGTAGACCTAGGGCCCCCACACCTTTTAGGGACTCCACGACAACAGATTGAAATAATATTGATTTGATCTTGAAATAAAATTACAATTAAGTATTAGGAGATCATTTGCTAGGGGGGCACTGAGATTCCGACTGCCTAGGGGTTTAATTGGACACTGGCTGCCCTTTCACCCCAGATAGCTCCCCAAAAGCTACATCAATTTGGGAGTAAATCCCAATTAACTCAACAGGACTTGTTTCTGAGTAGGCATGCATTGGCTTGTGCTACCAGGCGGGCGTTAGGTTTCCGAAAGCAGCTTATTTGGCCGAGAATTGTATGCTGCTTCCCCGTAATGTTATGTACTGAGGTTCTCAGCCTGGGCCAGCAGGGGGATATTGTAGATATCACTCAGGTCCACATATGCAAATAAGGGCTTGAAAGTGACGTTCACTGATTGGATAGTTACAGAAAGTTGTTACAGTTGCGTTGTAGTGAAGCTCTATATAAGCAGGCTGGCTGAACCCTTCAGTTCAGTTCTGGCCTGTGAATAAACAAGAGCTGTTTGAAGAATCGCTGTGTCGTCTGATATGTTCACCCACAACTTAACATGTAACATCTTACATAAGCGGCTTACATGAAATGCAATAGTTAACAGCTGCCATCTGTACTGAAGTTAGCATGTTTGAATCCTGGGCTTTAAGCGGGTTTGCAATCGCTTAAAAATCTGCGCAGAACTGGGTGGATCCACCACTCTGATCCAATGGGGCTTTTAGGCAGAAGGGAAGCCAACTGTGCTGAATCAATCTCGCTCCCCAAACCGCTTCTCCCTGGTGTAGGACCGCCATACGTCTGGATTTTCCCAGACATGAACTGGATTTCAAAGGCGGAATTGACGTCTGGTTTGAATTTTCAAAAGGTGGTGCTTTGTCCTGTTGATCGAAAGCAGATGAAAACATTAGCAGGGTTTTAACTTCGCTTGTAATGTAACAAATATCATGGACAATATGGATAGATACCAAACACAGACTATGAAATGATATGCAGTTGGAAATGCTGACAATAGGAGCTATGGAGGGGGTGGGGGAAAGTTGCGAGATTCAGAGAAATCTCATTTTATGGATATGTATTTGGCATTGTTAGGTTGGCAGGAGCAGGGACTGAGCAACAGGAGCTCACCCCGTTGCAGGGCTTCGAACTGCCGACCTTCTGATTGGCAAGCCCAAGAGGCTCAGTGGTTTAGACCACAGCACCACCCGCTCGATCCCAGCTCCTGCCAACCTAGCAGTTCGAAAGCATGCAGTGCAAGTCGATAAATAGGTACCGCTGTGGTGGGAAAGTGTACGGCGTTTCCGTGCGCTGCTCTGGTTCGCCAGAAGCGGCTTAGTCATGCTGGCCACATGACCCGGAAGCTGTATGCCGGCTCCGTCGGCCAATAAAGCGAGATGAGCGCCGCAACCCCAGAGTTGGTCACGACTGGACCTAATGGTCAGGGGTCCCTTTACCTTTATTAGGCATTGTAACTAATTTTTCATTTGTAAAATCAAATAAAACTATTTCCAAAAGAAAAATCGCAGAGTGTTTTTTTTGGGGGGGTTGGGTTCCTAAAAAATAAAAAAGCCCCACAACTTCCGCGGTGTCCTGGGTTCTTTACTTTTCGAAATATATATGGCAATCCAACCCTGACTTGTGCACATAGCTGTCAACCTTCCCTTTTTTTGTGGGAAATTCCCTTATTCCAGCGCCGTTTCCCGCTGCTTCCGGCTGCTATCCCGGATTGTTAGATATCCCTGGGACAGGTGAGGCTGCTGATCCCTTATTTTCTAGGCTGCTGATCCCTTATTTTCAAATCTGAAAGTTGACAGCTATCCTTGTGCATCGAAAGTGACAGTTTCCATCCCATTTCTCGCGCTTCCAGGGCAGGCGCCGGATTCCTGCTCCGGGTTTTCGCTGCAGCAGCAGCAAGAGGAACTAAAGCGAGGGGGCTGCTGTTTCTTTTGTGTACAGGGGATCCCTTAAGAAACCGCACAAAGCGGAAATGTGATCTTTCGTGGCGTGCAAGCTGCAGCGAGGAAGGTAAAAGGCATCTTCCTGGAAGCCACTTCGGGTTCTTATTCTTGCAAACAACTATTTGACTTTTAGAAGGCATCTGAAGATTTTTCAGGGAGGTTTTTTTTAATGGTTGAAGTTTCATTGTGTTTTTAATATTTGGTTGGGAGCAGCCCAGTCAGATGGGCGGCATATGAATGATAAAATTAGTATTCTTATTTTATTTTCCAAAAAAACCCAAAACTCGTTGCTGCTGTTGCTCTTTGCACTGTCTTCTCGGGAACACGAATACAACGCTGGAAGAGAAGCTCCTTTTCCCTTTGGGACGGTTGCTATCCTGTTCAGGCTTCTTTCAGGTGCAGCTTTACTTCCGAGTAAGCGTGCAAGGGGGCTCGATTAAAAAAAATAAATTTCATTTTAAATTGCAATCCAATAATAGCCTCATTATAACAACACCTAATTGTAATACAATTCCTAATGCCAATTGTTCAAATGTCAGGGGGCTCGATTTTGAGCTCTCCCCAATTTTGAGAATTTTCCCAGTGATCTCCCATGTCTCACGATTCTTGAAGCACATTAAAAAATATTGGTCCATGTATACTGAAGGCCTGATGGCTTCAGTTTCGTAAGGCCTGGCACCTTTTTCTTTCCTTATTAGCATCCAGCCTGAGAGTTTGTGCTCTTTTTAAATTGGCCTAAATAAAAGTTTTACCCTATTGTAGGGGGGGGTTTTGTTTTGGTTTTGGTGGGGTGCACATTATTTTCACATTATTTTGCTTCTTTGTTCCAACTGTTCACATTATTTTGCTTCTTTGTTCCAACTGTCATAGCGCTGCAGCATTTCCTTCTCTTGGCAGTTTTTTTTCCCAAAAGAGTATTTTGTTTGGTTTTGCGGTCATGTGTTTTCTGTATTTAATTTGTAAGCTTGTTTGATAGCATTGTCGTCGTACCTTGTATGGTGCCTGGAGGACTGTTATATTGTGGCCTATAAACTGAACAGATGAATAAGTGAAAAATTCTAAGTGTTAGAAATTGAAAGAAAAGTTGGAAGGCATCTGAAGGCAACCCTGCATAGGGAAGTTTTTAAATGCTGGATGTTTTATAATTTTTTTAATATATGTTGGAAGCCACCCAGAGTGGCCAGGACAACCTAGCCAGATGGGCAGGGTATAACTAATAAAGTTGTTGTTGTTGTTTTATCGTGCTTGGTAACACTTTATCTTTTTTTACAAATTTAATCTGTTGACTTGCCGCTGTATTATTTATGTTCTTTCCTAAAACTTTAATAAATACAGGTGGCAGAGGACAAAAACAAATTAAGAAAAACAGGAATTGTGCTCTTGAGCCCAGTGCATGCATGTAACAACCACATCCATGTTTAATTCCTATGTATATCTGATTATAAATTTCCCTTCAAGCTTAAACTAAACATGAAGAAGTTAAAACTTAAAGAACTAGAGAGCAATCTTCAACAAGTTGATGATTTTGAGAATCCAAAACTTCTGCTTGAGCAATATCCAACAAGACCACATATTGCAGGTAAATCTGAATATTTTTTCTATTTCTTAACAGTATGGCTAGCATACTTAGAGGAGACCTATTGAAAACAAAAGGGTTAAGCTAATAATGACTAACTTAAATTTATTGATTTAAATGGATTTACTGTGACTTGGATGCAACCCTATAAATCTATTCTGCAAACGCTAATTCAAGAAAGCACCCTCATTCTAGAACCTTTGGTTGTTGGTGTGGATGATGTATATAGCAATCATGTGTATTTAGCATTAAATTTAAGTCATGTGGGCAGCAAAAATTCTCATTAACAAGCTTTAAGTTGTGGATAAAACATGTTTTTCTCCTGGGGCTGTCAAGGAAGTCAAGAGTTGAATTTGTATCCCTGGAGCTTAAGTTGCTAATTGATGGTGAATATTGAATTATGACTGTCTTGTTATGCTGTTGCACTCCTCTGAAAAGCAAGAGTCCATGTTCGAAACGGTTTAGTGGAAGAACACATGCTTCCAAGATAATTCCCATATTTTGGGGTCATGAACAGAAACACGTTCTTGTTTGACTTGTTCTGTGCTAATCACTGGCTTGAGCCACTTGGATTTTTTACAACCTGTCTTGCAAATATATTTACTTTAGTCTTCTTAGCTTGCCTTGCCCACTTGCTTTTCCAGCTGCACTGGCTCCCGGTGGAGTACAGGGTCAGGTTTAAGGTGCTGGTTTTGACTTTAAAGCCCTTCACGGCCTAGGAAGCTTGTACCTATGAGACCGCTCTCCTGGTATGCCCCACGGAGAGCCTCAAGGTCCATAAATAGCAACACCCTAGTGGTCCCGGGCCCTAAGGAAGTTAGATTAGCCTTCAACCAGAGCCAGGGCCTTCTCAGCACTGGCTCCGGCCTGGTGGAACGCTCTGCCTCATGAGACCAGGGCCCTGCGGGATCTGATTTCTTTCCGCAGGGCCTGTAAGACAGAGTTGTTCCACCTGGCCTTTGGCTCAGAATCAGTTTGATTCCCTCCACCTTTTTCTTTTTCCTTTCTCCTCCTATCATGAGATTGCTCCCTAATTGTTTTAATATTGTATCTTAATCTTTTAAATTGTATTTTAATCAACTTTGTTTTTATTATTGGTTGTTAGCCGCCCTGATCTGGTCTTGGCTGGGGAGGGCGGGGTATAAATAAAAATTTTTTATTATTATTATTATTATTAAGTTGGCTGGTTGGCTGGGAGTGCTTGGACTTAATAGGAAACTATTCAGCTGGCGAAAAGGGGATAGATTAGAGGCCTGCAATTTCATTCCAGCCTTACAGTATGGTTTTGTATTTGCCCGGAACCTGTCACCTGTATTTCTTTGTTTTTGTCATCTAGCATGTATGCTTTATACAATTCACAATACTTTCGGTGATATTGAGAACAAGACTGTGGCAGATCTTGGGTGCGGTTGTGGTGTGTTGAGCGTTGGAAGTGCCATGTTGGGAGCAGGGTAGGTCCCTTACAGCAATGTGTACCTTGCTTTCTCATAATGGGTGCCAATACTGGATGTATTTCTGAAAAATGATAAAAGTGTGTAACCAGAAAGCCTTGATGAAGCCAACCAACCTATAAAAGTGCAGTTAGTAAATTTTAGAAAGGGTTTTACGTTAAAGGCTAGCGCCCTGATCTAGACCTGTACTAAAAGACCTGGACCTATTATACATGTGCATTAGGAAATCCCTAATACAGTGGTATCTTGGTTTACAAACTTAATCCGTTCCAGAAGTCTGCTCTCAAACCAAAAACCATTCTTAAACCAAGGCGTGTTTTCCCTAATGAGGCCTCCTGCCGCCGGTGCCCTTCCATCTTCCGGATTCTGTTCTTAGACCAAGGTAAAGTTCTCAAACCAAGACACTATTTCCAGTTTTGCGAAGTTTGTAAACCGAATTGTTCTTAAACCAGACTGTTCTTAAACCGAGGTACCACTGTACTGAGTGAAACCATTGGTCTGTCTAGCTCAGTATTGTTTATAGTGAATTGCAGTGGTTCTGCAGAGTTGCAGTTTGGGGACATTTCAGTCCCACCTATTGATGCTGGGGATTGAACCTGGGACCTGCTGAGTAATGGCTTGTATCCATATTGATTTGAAAACTGCAGGCATAAATTGGATAGACTGCTGAGTAGGGATGCAGTCTAGCCATGCTTGGTTGCTTTGAATATAATGTGTATTCCTAAATACACTGGCTGCCTTCAAACACCACACTGAGCCACAGAGTATGGTTTGTTTAACTTGACTGTGCACAAAGATCATGTGTTTTCCCACTTTGCTCCTCCCTTAGTCAAGTGGGGAAAGTAAGACCAATCCTTCTTTCACAGTACACATATACCAGGAATAGGGACGCAGGTGGCTCTGTGGTCTAAACCATTGAGCCTCTTGGGCTTGCTGATCAGAAGGTCGGCGGTTTGAATCCCCGTCACGGAGTGAGCTTCCAGCTCCTGCCAACTCAGCAGTTTGAAAGCACACCAGTGCAAGTAGATAAATAGGTACCGCTGCAGCGGGAAGGTAAACGGCGCTTCCGTGCGCTCTGGCACTTGTCACGGTCCTCCGTGCGCCAGAAGCGGTTTAGTCATGCTGGCCACATGACTTGGAAATCTGTCTGTGGACAAACGCTGGCTCCCTCGGCCTGAAAGCAAGATGAGCGCTGCAAGCCCATAGCCGCCTTTGACTGGACTTATCTGTCCGGGGTCCTTTACCTTTTACCTATACCTGGAATAACATCAACATATTTGTAACTCAAACAAAATTTTAAAAAAATCCTTCTAGTAGCGCCTTATAGACCAGCTAAGTTTGTTATTGGTATGAGCTTTCGTGTGCATGCACACTTCTTCAGATACCACTTCAGATAAGTGTGCAAGCACACGAAAGCTCATACCAATAACAAACTTAGTTGGTCGGCAACCTACCTGTAACTAGAAATATTCATAACTTTAATCGCTGTTTTTCATTTTCCCCTTTTCCAGGTTATGTATAGGATTTGACATAGATGCTGATGCCTTGGAAGTATTTAGCAAGAACGCTGAAGAATTTGAGCTGACAAATATTGATTTGGTCCAGTGCAATGTGTGTTCTTTGTCTGACAGAATGCCAAAAACCTTTGATACAGTCATTATGAATCCTCCCTTTGGAACGAAGCACAATAAAGGTTGGTAATGATGCACCCTTATTTCCAGTGATAAAGCAACTAGCTTTACAAACTAAATGTTTTGTAATTAACGCTTCTCGGCAATTTCTTTCGATACTTACTTTTGGATTGTGTTAAGGGTGGCGATTTCTAAAGTCTAGTGCCATTTTTTTTAGGCTGCATGTGTGGTGTTAATAAGGATTTATCCTCATGCATCTTCCATATATTGGAAGATTCATTTCACCAATCCTGTTTTGCTCTCCCCCCAGGTTGTGCAAACCCAATTCCTTCTGTTCTTCAAGTGTTCACTTTCTTTCTACATTTAGCACTAGATTTAAGATAGATGCTTGTGATGTTCTGCTTGTTAATATTTCCAAGCATATGCTACTTTAGCCAGCACATTGTAGCCATCTAATAGGGGGCATCTAAAAGGGACATGAGTGGCGCTGTGGGTTAAACCACAAAGCCTAGGATTTGCTGATCAAAAGGTCGGCCGTTCGAATCCCCGGCAATGGAGTGAGTTCCCGTTGCTCGGTCCCTGCTCCTGTCCACCTAGCAGTTCGAAAGCACTTCAAAGTGCAAGTAGATAAATAGGTACCGCCCCGGCAGGAAGGTAAACAGTGTTTCCGTGCTCTGCTCTGGTTCACCAGAAGTGGCTTAGTCATGCTGGCCACATGACCCAGAAGCTGTACGCCGGCTCCCTCGGCCAATAAAGCGAGATGAGCACCGCAACCCCAGAGTCGGTCCCGACTGGACCTAATGGTCAGGGGTCCCTTTACCTTTATTTAATAGGGGGCAAAACCTTCCCTGTTTTTTGGGGGGGTGGGGTGGGCGGAGTAAGTCATCTGAAAATGGCAAATGTTTTACTGAAGTTTAGGCATATCGCTTCTGTTCCTTCCCACTCGTCAGTAAGGTCTGTCATCTTTTGTGGAAAGAGGCACTAATTTGTTTAAGGTTGTAACTAAAAGCATGATGTTAGACAGGAACAGGTAGCTAAAATATTTACTCTTCTTGGGCAGGGAAACTGAATATTCAAATATACTGTTTAATTAGGCTTCCAATGCTGAAAACCTGGAAGAGACACATTTGGCTTCCAAATTAAAGAAAACTTTTTTTTCCCCAAAAGTGATGCAATTTTCGCTTAATGCTGATGAACAAAGCTTAAAATCAATTTAATGTTTGTCATCCCACCTTTCAAGTTTGCTAGCATGGTACCCGTTTCAGTAAAACAAGTTTTGCTTTGGCTCATTGAATAGGCGATTTGAAACTTAACAACAATCTTTATTTTCCTAGGCATGGATATGGCTTTTCTCAAGACAGCATTACAGTTGGCAAGGACAGCCGTATATTCCTTGCACAAGACTTCGACCCGACAGGTACATCTCAAGCAAGTTTGTCTTCTTTCCACCTATATTACAGGAACTGAGTGGGTCAGAACTTATGGGAGCTCTAGCGATACAAAGATCACACTTTGGAACATAATTTCATGATCAGCTACATTACAAGTCAGTGTTTAGGATACTTACCCTTTGGTCACGATGGAAGCAGTCCTATCGCAGCTGTTGCGTCAGTTCAAAAGATCAGGCATGCTTCTGCCGATTGCCGAGGTGACCACTAAACACCTTGCATTTCTTCCATGCTTAGCATATCCAGAAGAAAGCAGATGAATGGAACGTGAAAATGGAAGTTTTAGCAGGTAAGAGCTGACTGTTTAGATCAGCCTTAAAGGCACATGGGTCCCCTTGCTGAAGGTTTGGGCTAGATGGGAGGCTGTTGTGAGGAAGAGCAACCTGAATTTAATCAAAAAATGAAAACACAGGTTATGCCTAATACAGTCACACCTCGGTTGTCGAACATAATCTGTTACAAAAGCCCGTTCAGCTTCCGAAATGTTTTGACAACCAAGGCGTGGCTTCTGATTGGCTGCAGGAGCTTCTTGTACTCAAGCGGAAGCCGCGTCAGATGTTCGGCTTCCGAAAAATGTTTGAAAACCGGAACACTTACTTCCGGGTTTTTGGTGTTCGGAAGCCGAAACGTTCCAAAACAGAGGCGTTTGGGAACCGAGGTTTGACCATATTTGAGTTGTTTTTAAAAATCTTTTAAGTTGCATTTTAGAAGTAGATCAGGTATTTACTGCTTGTCCGATAATGTAGGCCGCCCCCCCCATCCAAACCTTAGACAAATAATGTCCCTGACCTCCAATATCCATTTTATTTTAATTTATATCTTGCCTTATCGCCAATTGTTTCTGGACTATAACTCCCATCATCCCTCGCCAGCAAGACCAGTGGTCAGGCATGATGGGAATTGTAGTCCAAAAACAGCTGGAGATCCACCGTTTGGGAAACACTGGGATAGATTCTTCTAAGACAGATTGTTGTTGTTTAGTCGTGTCCGACTCTTTGTGACCCCATGGACCAGAGCACACCGGGCACTCCTGTCTTCCACTGCCTCCCACAGTTTGGTCAAACTCATGCTGGCAGCTTCGAGAACACTGTCCAGCCATCTCATCTTCTGTCGTCCCCTTCTCCTTGTGCCCTCCATCTTTCCCAACATCAGGGTCTTTTCCAGGGAGTCTTCTCTTCTCATGAGGTGGCCACAGTATTGGAGCCTCAGCTTCAGGATCTGTCCTTCCAGTGAGCACTCAGGGCTGATTTCCTTCAGAATGGATAGGTTTGATCTTCTTGCAGTCCATGGGACTCTCAAGAGTCTCCTCCAGCACCATAATTCAAAAGCATCAATTCTTTGCCATCAGCCTTCTTTATGGTCGAGCTCTTAATTACATACATCACTACTGGGAAAACCATAGCTTTAACTATATGGACCTTGTAAGACAGATTACAAATATCAAAACGCTTTTTTTTTAAAAAAATGCAGCATGCATAACAAGCCTGCAACAACCTTCCTCGAGGGCAGCAGATGGTAGATAGTCCTCCTTTGTGGCGAGTGCATTATTCATCTAGCTCAGGCTTTGTTGCTTTCAGCTGCCTGCTTCCCTCTCCCAGAATCCTTATCCTACAGCATCTGATGGCCCTGGAAAAACAGGCCATGTATCTAAAATGCATTTAGTCCGTGGAAACTTGTGTTTTCTTCCCGATTCCAGTTAACCTGCTTTCGCATCATTATTCCCTAATGCTTTGGCCGTTTACACCCAGAGACATAATTGCCTGATACCATCCATTACAGCTTAATGTGTTTACTCATTTTGTTTTCAGAACTGAGATACGACCTACCAGCCTCATTCAAGTTTCACAAGAAGAAATCGGCAAGTATTACATCACTCTTGAGCCAGAGTGAATATAGGAACTTGGTAGTTTTAACTGAACCACAGGCTTAGGACCACGTATGAAAACCTTTTAGGCAAGGAGCTCTGTGTATTGTGTGACTGAACTGTTCAGGCATTAAAGGTGGATCTGGGAACAGAAATCTGGATCCCAGGAATCAACTCTGTGGGAGCAGAGACCTTAAGAATAGCTCAGCCCTAGAAGCCACTTAATTCTAACGTATAACATGAAACCTGTTTTGAACATGATTATGTATACAGTGGTACCTTGGTTCTCCAATGCCGAAAGTAAGTGTTCCGGTTTTTGAACAATTGTTTTTGTTTTTGCTATTTATTTTGCGTTTTTGAGGCTTTTTCGGTTAATTTGTTTTTGTGACTGTGTGGAACCCCAGTTCAGCTGCTGATTGATTGTGACACTGCGGAAATGGATAAAAGCCCCCAATCCAAACAATTTTTATCATCTACAATACTGTCTTATTTAGTTTATAGTACAGTACACTGATTATTGCTTTCATTTTATGGATCAGTGGTCTCGTTAGATAGTAAAATTCATGTTAAATTGCTGTTTTAGGGGTTGTTTTTAAAAGTCTGGAACGGATTAATCCGTTTTGCACTACCTTCTATGGGAAAGCGTGCCTTGGTTTTGGAACGCTTTGGTTTTGGAACGGGCTTCCGGAACAGATTAAGTTTGGGAACCAAAGTACCACTGTACAGGTACACCCCCGCCCAAACAAACTGATGTTGATACAAGCAGGTGGTACAACCTAAGTGTTGGCCAGCAGAGATCCAGGTAAACATTACACTAAGCCCCTGTTTACTAACAGAGCATGAAGTCATCTGTGTCCTCCTGGTCCAGATTACGGATTACACCATATTGATTTTTCACTTGCAAGTGCTGCTGCTAGAAAGCACCATATTCAAGTAGTAGCAAAAATATACAAGGTGGATACACCCACCTATTTTCTCACTTGTAACCCCCCCCCCATCCTCTCACACATACACAGGGTTATCCCCCACTCACAGTTTTCTTAAAAAGGCCCTCTGCAGTACTAAGCAACTCCCTGCTGGCAGGGAAGCAATAACTGAGCAAGCAAGGTGGCCTTTGTTGTTCCTTTTCTCCCCCATTTTTTAAAAAAAGCCCCTCTATGTGGCTGGTGGGCAAAAAATTTGGCAGTTTCCTCTTCCTCGACCCTCCCCATCTCAATTTTAAAAATCTCATCTTGCAAAGCAAGAAAAACCAACTTAAATGACAGGTGCCCCTGGTTGCTTGAGGGATGCCAAGAAAGGGTTTTACAGGCACCAGGTTGATCACACACACGACCCAACTCCCTTTGTTGTGGTAAACGGAAAAAGCAAATGAAATTCGAAGGCAGCTATTTAACGAAAGCATTGGCAAGCAGTTCAGAATCGAATCACTCAAGTCGGGTAACTGTACATATTTTGCTTTATTTAAGCCCACCTTTCCCATCAAACTCAAGGCGGTGGTACACCTGTTGTTCCACTTCTGAAACCTAATGCAATATAATTCATTGAATTCCAACACTGAAGCACGTTAAGTTTATTTGGTATCTACTAAATACAACTTTTGTACATAGTTTTGAATGAAGGTGGCTCAGTTTTCTTGAGCCTTTCCCCCTTTGGCCCAGGGGTTACGGGGGGGGGGGGTGCCCAGGGGCAGAGACTTTCCTGCAGAAGCCTTCCCTGGTACCCACGGCTGCCCTGCCTTTCCCCACTGCTGAAATTAGGCTTGAAAAGAGGATTCAGTTGTAGCTCATAGAAAAGGTTGCTGTAATTAGTGTGTGTGGCCTACAAAAAGAGTTGGCAACTCCTGGTGCATTGTATAACAAACAATTTATGCTTTTATCCAGGCCACAGTCCCTGCTCCCAATCCCCCAGAGCATATTGGGGGGGGGCGTGCAGGGGGGTTGTAAGGGGAGAATAGAGGAAAGGGAACACAGTTCAATTTCACTCAAATAGCTATTATAAAAAGGTATGTTTTTTAAAACGAAAAAAAAACCCCAAAGAAATAACCTGAAATGTAACTTTTTCTTCTATCCCTTTTTGCAGGTGGACATCGAAGTCGATTTTATTAGATTCTCTTGCAGAAAACAGGATGAACGGAGGAATGATTGAAAAGAAATCATTTGTTTCTTTAAAGCAAAACGCTCAATGCTTTTTTGGAGTACTATTCTGTATCTCCACCTCCATTTTCTGTCTTCAGCTGTTTGCGGGCAGGCTCTTCCTTCTCAGCCTCTTCCAGTGGTCTTTTCTTTGGACTCGCCGCCCCTAAAAACGTCCAAGAGTTAACTCAGTATTTGATCTATAAAACAGCCAGATCCGTACCTCTGCCAATAAAGCAAGTATTACTGAAACTTTTTGTGCAACCGTCCTTGGTGCCTCTCTCAGAACAGCAAATGGTTACGCTACGTATTTGGATGGAAGAATATCGAGGAATGCTTGTGACAGCCATTCTCCCCTTGGGCCTGCAGCTGTTCCCAAGGTGAAACAGATTCAGCTGTAAAGTGACTATTTTGAAGTAACAGAGGCCTCCGAGCCTATTTTGACTGATCACCCATTTTCCCCCAGCTGCAAAAGCTGGATGCTAAACACAGCCCAGTGTGCTGGGAATGTATTTTGGCATTGAGCTATGAGTTGCCAACCAATCTTACTGGCCTCCTGGCTTTTTTGTGGAGAATTAACACTGCCTTTTTATTACTTGCTGTGTCAAGGTTCCTTCAAAGATCAGGTTGGCTGGAGCCTCTGTTGCACAGCACTATTTTTGCCTGTAAACCATTCTGCAAAGACATTCAACCTAAAGTATGTGAGACTTGAGTTGCTGAGGCTTATTCCTTACCTAGCCCTTTTATTCTGCAGTGGGAAGCTGCATTTGATACCAGGAAAAACCCCAGCCAGTATTAAGAGTATGTGATACTAAACCCAATGCATGCATTCAGAATCTTGTTCTAATAAAGGAAAGCGCTCACCTGTCGCACTTTCGTCTTCCCCCTCTTCTTCATCTTCACTCTCAAACTTCGTTTTCTTGCCTTGGAATTTCACTTTCCTGTCCTGCGCACCTTGAGGTCCCTTGCCACCTTTTCCTTTACCTTTGCGGCCTGTCAGGCAAGAATAGGCACGTCTTAGGCCGCTTAATATTCAGCTTCAGGGGCTTCCCACAACGCATCTCAAGAGGATAAGAAAACTGCAAGCTCAACTATCTAAGCCAAATGTTGACAGGCAGCGGTTTTCCACTTTTGCTCTGCCCGGAACTTGAACCCTGGACCCTTCTGCAAAGCATATTCACGTGCAACGCTCCCCAAGCATTTTGTCGGTATGTGCGGGTGAGCCTTCATAGAGCAAACCCCGCCGGCAGAACTCGTGCATCCCCTCTCGGTGCTGAGAGCTAGTCTGCCCATCCAACCACAAGCAATGAGGTGTGCGAATCAGTTGCAGAATTCGGATTACATCCCCAGTGCTCTCTCACTGCCCCAGCATGATCTTATTTCATAGGCTTTCCCCTCTGCTGCACAGTCCAGTTCACCACCAGTTTTGCTGCCCCTTCCAAAGCCCCGCCCCCACTGCTGCTCTTCCAGCCAATCGGGACCACAAGAGTCACCTAGCCCAACCCCTTGCGATGCAGGTATGCTTTGCCCAACATGAAGCTCAAACACACAACCCTGAGATCAAGAGACATGCTCTGCCAACTGAGCTATTCCAGGATTGGGCCGGCCCCTCATGTCTGGCTTGCAGGTTTCCCAAAGGCAACTGGTCCACCGCTGCATTAAACCATTTCTGGACAACATAGCTCCCTGGTCTGATCCAGCCAGACTCATCTTTGTGTCCTTCTATGGCTTCTGTGGGTCCAGAAAGGTTTCCGCTGCAGATCCCAAGACTGGGACCCTACTTGAGAAGAGCAGCCCACTGCTTTGCTCAACACCGGCTATCCACATAATAAGGCTTCCAAGAAGGTAAGCTAAATGAAAGAAGACAAAATCAAGGCAAAACGTCACCTTTTCCTTTCTTTTTGTTCAACAGTTCTTGCTGCCCCTCCATGATTTTCTTGAGCGCTTCTCTCGCCACGTCTCCTTCCAACACGTCCCACGTCACCTCTCTGCCTCGCAGCTGCAGGCTCCCGTCATTTGCCGCCTGGGCTTTATCCAGCGCTTCTTTGGCGCTGCTCTTGAACAGGATGATTCCCTGTGTGCAGAAACACAAGGTGGTTATCTCAATACGCAACCGTTCGCTCAGACATTTTCTTTCTATGGCTTCCCTGTGGTCAGAAGAGACGGCCAAGGTGGCGATTCAATAGCTAAAATTTGCCACCGAGTCGTAACGGATGCAGTGGTCAGGGCCACACAGGCCAAGCACTCCCACAAGTCCTCGGCCTAAACTAGGCTTGTTGGAACAGTTTACAGTAGAACCTCAGGTTGCGGATATAATCCGTGACGGAGGCACGTCTGCAACCCGCAGCGTTCGCATCCTGAAACGCTGCGTCTGCGCAGGCACGATTTGGCGCTTCTGTGCATGCGGTGAAACCCGAAAGTAACCCGTTCTGGTACTTCCGGGTTTCTCGTGGTCCACAACCCAAAAACATGTAACCTGAAGTGGCTGTAACTTGAGGTATGACTGTATTTGACACCAGTTGCCCAGGAACATAACTGATCACTCCTCCGAACCCTCTCAAGGCAGCCCATTGTTAAGTACAGTGGTACCTCAGATCACATACGCTTCAGGTTACATTCGCTTCAGGTTACAGACTCCGCTAACCCAGAAATAGTACCTCGGGTTAAGAACTTTGCTTCAGGAGGAGAACAGAAATTGTGCTCCGGCGGCGTGGCAGCAGCAGGAGGCCCCATTAGCTAAAGTGGTTGCTTCAGGTTAAATACGGACCTCCGGAACGAATTAAGTACTTAACCCAAGTTACCACTGTACTCCTACAGTTTTTAGCACTGCGGCAGCATAGCCAAGTGCATGTCATGCACTTCTTCAGAAAAGCCCCAAATTCACACCACACGCAGACTCATCTATCACAGATATCGGGGCATGTGGTGGCATATAACAGGTGTGTGCACGTAGTAGCCGACGCAAGAATGGTTCTACTGGGGTGTGGCATGAACACAGTGCACAGATACAAGACGATAGCTCTTTTAAAAAGGTCAAAGCCTTGAACAACTATACCAATAAATCCTGACATCGTATAGGTATGCACAAACACAAGTGGTATTTGCAGTATTAGGTCTGTATTGGCCACATGTAATACAACTCGGATAGAGGTTAAGTGGTATTAGGTGCTTATATAATTATTACAGTTTTACTCTATTTTATATTGTGCTCATCGGTGTCTCCATATCTGAAAGTCATTATGCACTTGGCGTAAAACTGGTGCTTTTATGAAGAAGCATGTGTTTATTATTGTGAAAAATTGAGATAAGCCACTACAGTGGTGCCTCAGGTTACGAACACCTTGGGTTACAAACACTTCAGGTTACAAACCCTGCTAACACGGAAGTAGTACCTCAGGTTAAGTACTTTACCTCAGGATGAGAACTGAAATTGCACGCTGGCGGTGCAGCAGGCTCCATTAGCTAAAGTGGTACCTCAGGTTAAGAACGGTTTCAGGTTAAGAACGGACCTCTGGAACGAATTAAGTACATAACCAGAGGTACCACAGTCGTACCTTGGTTTTTTAATTTAATCTGTTCCAGGAGTCCATTTGACTCCCAGAACAGTTTGAAAACCAAGGCGTGGCTTCCGATTGGCTGCAGGAGCTTCCTGCAGCCAACTGGAAGCTGCGCCGGAAATTTGGCTTCTGAAAACTGTTCGGAAACCGGAACAATCACTTCTGGTTTTCAATTCTTTGGGAGCCAAAACATTTGAGTTCAAAGGCCCTGGGCTTCCAAGGTACGACTGTACTGGCATTAGTTGCTGTTCTTTTCATTTCAGGCCTAAGCCAGACGGGACAACCTTATGATCCGAAGAACAGTGGCTTGGTGCCGGAGCATCGATTTTGCCCACAGAAGGTCCCAGGTTTAATCCCTGCCATCTCCAGCTAGGGCCGGGAGAAATTTCTGTCTGAAATCCCAGATAACTGCTACCAGTCAATATAGACAATACTGCTTTCTATGTTCCTAAAGCAGCACACGGGTCACTGCCCACAACTCTGCCCTTTAACTATTCTCTCTTTCCCAGGAGAAGATGCTATAGCAGACTACAGAGGGGAATCAACCAGTTCCAGTAGCTTATGAGCATAAAGCAGTCCTACCAAAGCTAGCTGTGGCTCCTTCAGCTAGGAGCTGCCAGAATTTCCTGGGGTGTTTTATACTAGCTCTGGTTCCTGGGACATCGCTCGTGTGGCAAATCCATGGGAGGTATTACTCAAGAGTTGAACCATTGAAATTTATGGACCTAACTTGGTCACACTCATTAATTTCAATACTCTGAGTAAATCTTAGTTGAAATACCACCCAGTTTGTTTAAGGGAGAGATGGGAAAAGCAGACACCCTTTAGGTGCTGTTCGGACTACAACCTCCATCACTTGTGACCACCAGCTGGGGCTGATGGGAGTGCAGAACATATTAAGGCAGGCCACAGGTCTCCTAGGGTTGAGACCCGTTGTTAGTTATTCACCACAATGCAAAGTTTACCTCTACCTATTCATTTGCCGCTTAGAAGAATAAAGCGAAGCAATCACAGCATTCTGTCTAGCAAGCAAGAACGAAATTTATGCTCCCTGTTTTTGAGTGCGCCTCGGATAGGAGGAATCAAATGTTTCTGCCAAGTTTTCCATTCTGATTTCCAGTAATAGATTGTATATACCAGGGATGTCCATCAGGTCGACCGCGATCTACTGGTCGATCCCTGGGAGGTTTAGGTTGATCGCTGGCTTTTTTTCCCCTTTGCCGGGGAAAAAGAGGATCTGGCCTGGCCCCCTCTCCCCGTCCTCCATTTGCGCATGATCGCTAGAACAGAAGATGGGAGTTTTTACTGTGAGACTGATTGTTTCCTGAGCAATCTTTTGGTAAGCGACTTTTTCCATTCTCCCCTAAAGAAAGCTCAACATTTTTTTTACCTCTCCCTCTTAAAAAAAGCTCCACAACTTTGTCTTTCCTCCCTAAGAAAAGCTCCACTTTGACCTGAAGGGGTAGATCACTGCCAGATTTTTATTCTGTGAGTAGATCGCAGTCTCTGGGGAGTTGGACCTCCCTGGTGTATACGTTTCGAAGAAAACCACTGTCGTATCGGGCAGCGAGCGCAGCAAAACCTGAAAACATCGCCCCCTTTTGTTGTTAACATTTCGCCAGATGCAGCAACGCCCCGGGGTCTGACCTCTTTGGCACCTCTCACAAAGTCTATCCATTTAATTTCGCCATGGCCAGAGAAAAGGGCATGGAGGTCTTCTCGGCAAGTCTGATCTTCCAGGTCTCCAAAGAACTTCAGCAAGCAGCCTTGCTTCTCCTCCAGAGATTTCTTTCATTTACAAAAGGGGAGGGAAAAGATTCCATTAGAGAGGACAGACATTTATACCCCGCAGGACTGAACAAGACTTCAAGCAAGAGATGGGTTTTTAAGTTTCCCAGATGTACACAAACTTGGACCGTTCCAAGGTGGGTGGGTGGGTATTCAAGCTTGTAGATAAGACCATTAGCGAGTTCCCAAGTTCCTGGCTGTTAAAATGGCCCCATTCAGAGATTCTCATGCTACCATAATCACAAGGCGGAAGGGTGGGGGGCCACAGCACTGTACCTCCACACTCCTCAGCTGGCTCCATGGCCCTGCACCCCCCCACCGCCATCCACACTTTGGGAGGACCCATTCCCCAATCAACACAGCTCCACCCCCTTCCACCATGTGATTATGATGTCATGAAAGAGAACGCCTAAAGTGGGACATTCCTTCAGCGCTGTTGGCTGCATAGTGCTGCTGGTGGCTCGTAATAGCCATCGCATTTTGAGTTGCATGCTTCCAGCTATGTGCTGCTTTACTCTAAGGTTCAGTTTCCCAAGCATGCTCCAGCGATCTAGCCTCGGTTAAGACAAGAGTACCCTGGATCACACCTTCCTGCAGTGGAACCAACACAAAACCAATACGCTCAAAGTCTTAAAACCGCAACTTCAAGAATGTGAATTTATTTGGCATTGCTCATCTCCCTCCCCCAACCCATGTACACAAAGGTACCCATGGTCACATTAAATCTGGAATGGGGAGGGGGTGCCCTGCTTCTTCCAGGAAAGCTACTTTAGCACAGGACACTGGTACAAGGAGGACTATTACACTCCAGTCTGATTGGAGCGTAATTGAAATTTGTAAGAATCTGGAGCGCAGAAACAAAGTAAATCACTAAACCAATTCTAGCACGTGGAGGGCCATCTAAATTGTATAATTTGGCATCTCAATGATTGGCATTATTCATTGTATTATAATTTGGCATTGTTATAATGAGGCTGTTATTGGTTTGCAATTGAAAATTAATAAAAGGGGGTATTACAATCCCAGATGCACTTTGGCAATTGAGTTTCCAGTCTCCGAAAGACTATTTTGGAAAAAGCTTGAAACCTAACAGGTAAATTGTTGCCTTTAGCCTTATCCACACAACTCTTACGAACCTCAATTCTCTCCCATCTGGGTCAGAACAGCCTTTTCCACTGTATGGCCTAAATGTAGCCTTGGCTAATTAAGTTTGTGACTAGCATGAAAATGCTAACTAGCTTTTTAAATAAATAAAACAAAACAAAACCCTTCTACCAAATGGACTGGAAGAGAAGGCCCTTCCTCCTCCAGCCAGCTCCTTTCTCGGAATGATATTCCAGGTGATTTTTGTCCACCCTGCAAGGTGTTAAATACAAGGCCGACCTAATGACAAAAAAAGGAGCAGAACTGCTTTCTAGGTCTCCTATACCTCCAGCAGCACTAGGCAAAGAGCCCTTATGAATGAGGCACTCAGGATTTAATTTCTAGAAGAATCCTAGAATTGTAGAGTTGGAAGGGACTCTTGAGGATCATCTAGTCCAACCCTCTGCAATGCAGGAATATGCAGCTGTCCCGTACGGGGAATTATCAGAAGAAATGTTGTCAAGGTTCAGGTTCCTGTGCAAACCCTCCTTACAGCTAGTCCCAGTCCACGGCCAGTTACTCATATCTGGGACAAAAATGCACTCTGCACCTGCTCAGGGGCATTTCCTACTTACTTCATATGCTCTAGGATTGAGCCTTCGCACTGAAAATGGATGTTGGGGCTGACTACTGGCTCAGTCCCAGTATGTGTAAGAAATCAAGTGCGTATGGGGTGAGCTCCCGTCGCTTGGTCCCTGCTCCTGGCAACCTAGCAGTTCGAAAGCACGTCAAAGTGCAAGTAGATAAATAGGTACCATTCTGGCGGGAAGGTAAATGGTGTTTCCGTGCGCTGCTCTGGTCTGCCAGAAGCGGCTTAGTCATGCTGGCCACATGACCCGGAAGCTGTACGCCGGCTCCCTCAGCCAATAAAGTGTGAGCGCCACAACCAGAGTCGGCCACGACTGGACCTAATGGTCAGGGGTCCCTTTACCTTTACTTACAAAACACAGCGTCGTGTGTTTTGGAGAACCCAAGGGAAAATTTGCTGTTTGTTTTATTGTTCCTATCAGGTCCAGGAGAGAAAACTCAAGCTGGTCTTAGCTAATTGCTTTTCAAGTCTTTATTCTTCCACCTTATCCTTCTAAATTACACAGGGGAAACAGAGGCACTGTGGATTACACAGTTTTCTCAGTGAAATCAAGGGGCATGTACCATTTCCGCATCTTCCGCTTGCTTCTGTTTCTCCTCTTTCTCCCTGTGACAAAAAAATAAGAAAAAGGATTGCGAAGTTAAGCAGAGCGCACTGCTGGCAAACAAAGAGGAGATGATAATTGCGAGGTTAAAAAGTCTCCGCTTACTGCTTGGCCTTTGCTTTCGCTTCCAATCTGTTCCGTTTTTTCTCCTCGTTCTTCTTCGCAAAGTAATCATCCCTGCACGGAATATATAATTCAATTAAGCGAGCCAATTTAGGGGTACTATATGCAACGGAAAGGAATATGAAAGCCACCCTTAAGATGTCTGGCTGTTCTTTGAAGCAAGCTAATTGCTGCCTTGGTGCTGCTATAGACAATGGTGACCAATTAGCGTTGACAGAAAAACTGGCTTTGGAGCAAGAAAAAAATAATCAGCTCTTATTAAAACTGGCCATCTGTTTCCCCCTCAAAGCACGATGAGACTCTTCTCCCCACTGTGCTCTGTTCCTCAGACTGCAAGAAATCGCTACCATTGCCAGTGGAAAGATCTCCATCGGGAGGTTTTGAGCTCTCCTTCCTTGGAGGTTTTTAAGCAGAGGTTGGATGGCCATCCGTCATGGATGCTTTATAGCTAAGATTCCTTCCAGCTCTATGATTCTATGATGCTAGAGGGCAGGCAGGCAGAGCAAGACAGAAGACCCCTCCTAGACCCATTTTCTAGCACTTGGTGTAATGGACTAGAGCGCAGCACACCCAAAAGTGTCTGCCAAGAGACTTACAAGCAAACGTCCACTCCAGCCTTGATCGTAGGATCCTTTGCCAAGGCTATCAAAGCTTGCCTTTACAACTTGGTGTGGGGTGTAACATAAGCAGTCAAGTACAGTAGTACCTCAGGTTAAGTACTTAATTCATTCCGGAGGTCCATACTTAACCTGAAACTGTTTTTAACCTGAAGCACCACTTTAGCTAATGGGGCCTCCCGCTGCTGCCGCGCCGCTGGAGCCCGATTTCTGTTCTCATCCTGAAGCAAAGTTCTTAACCTGAAGCACTATTTCTGGGTTAGCGGAGTCTGTAACCTGAAGCGTATGTAATCTGAGGTACCATATTGTATTAGTCTTCAAAGCCCTTAACAACATGGGACCAGTTTACCTGCAAGATTGCCTTGCCCATATATGCCCACTTGATCTCTTTGATCTGCAGAGCTGTCGCAGAATACCTGATCCACATTTGTCAGAAATTGATCTCTTAGTGTAATGGCATTTAAACTTGGAACTCCTTGTCTGTTGACACCAGGCAGGCCTTTTCACTGTACCCATTTTGGCGCCCACTAAAAACACTCTTGTTTATACGAGCTTATCCAGGTATGTAGAGTATTGCGAGTTTTAATCTGTTTTTAGTTTATTGCTGATTTTATTTTTATTTTTTTAAAAAAAATTAAATGGTTGTACTTAACCAATTTATTGGTTTTATTCTTTTTGCAAACTGCTGAGAGAAGAAGAAGAAGAAGAAGAGTTTGGATTTGATATCCCGCTTTATCACTACCCGAAGGAGTCTCAAAGCGGCTAACATTCTCCTTTCCCTTTTCTCCCACAACAAACACTCTGTGAGGTGAGTGAGGTTGAGAGACTTCAGAGAAGTGTGACTGGCCCAAGGTCACCCAGCAGCTGCATGTGGAGGAGCGGGGAAGCAAACCCGGTTCACCAGATTACGAGTCCACCGCTCTTAGCAAAATACATTAGTATCAGAAGAGAGCAGCAAAGAGTCAGATAGGAAGATGATAGCGTGACTGGCCTTTTACAGGCGCTCACAGAGTCATGCCCATCTACCTGGTCACACTCGGGGAGGATGCTCTAGACAGGTGTGACAGGAAGTCCTCCTGGCTGGAGTAACACCCCCCTGTCTGTGTCCACTCTGGGCAAACAGGAAGTGTTGTACAGTGGTACCTCAGATTACATACGCTTCAGGTTACAGACTCTGCTAACCCAGAAATAGTGCTTCAGGTTAAGAACTTTGCTTCAGGATGAGAACAGAAATCGTGCTTGGCGGCGCAGCAGCAGTGGGAGGCCCCATTAGCTAAAGTGGTGCTTCAGGTTAAGAACAGTTTCAGGTTAAGAACGGACCTCCGGAACGAATTAAGTCCTTTACCCGAGGTACCACTGTAGTAACACACTGGCCTGGCGGCAAATGGGTGACGATTAACAATCTGCAAGTCCAAAGCATTACGATATCAAATACATAGCTCACCTGAAAAGTACAATAAGCTCCGTGTCCTTGTATTTTTGGTTTGGAGTTTCAACGAACTGTTTGGCAGATTCGACGCTATCAAATACTGCAAATACTGATCCCTGAAGGAGGTGGGAAAGGAGGTGTTTTAATTTAGATTGGTGGAATATTCCCACAGGAAAAAATAATAATTGAAAAGAGCTTTGACGAGAAGGAGTTACCTTGAACGTTTTCTGAATGGTTTTCCGCATCTGAATGTTTTCAACTTTGCCTTTACAGTCTAGCCATTCCTTGATATCATCAAGGGTTGCATCCTGTGGAAAACCTTTCTGAAAATTGAGGATTCGGTCAGTGACTTCATATTCAGAGACACGTTTATGCAAACACATATCTGGGGACGTTTAGGGTATTTACACGGGCGTAGTCTTGCCGCCGGTTTGTGAACAATACCCATAAGCAGGATGGATAGCGGTAAAGAACGATATTTGAGAGCCTCCCTCATGACGAGCAAAAACCGAATGTCAAGCAGAATTAGCCAACTTAAGCTAAACTGCTCATTACCAGGTAACATAATATGGGGCCCAGTGGATAAAAATCAATGATTTTTTAAAAAAATAAAAACCCGATTTTTAAATTTAAATCGGAGGCTTTTTTAATTCAAATTGGATTTTAAAAATAAAATGCTTTTCAAGGAAAAATCTTTCTAAAGATTGTTTTCTATTTAAGTTACATTGCAGTCCAAAGACTATTCCTCAAGAAATAAGGATTTGTTTTAAGTTTTTCCTGTGTGCTAAAACTCAGTCTAAGCTGTGTGTTTTTTTAATGTTTAACCACATCAGTTAACAAACATGTTATTGTTTTAGTTAAATAAATTGTTTAAATTGTTATTAAGGAAAAATTATTTTTCTCCTTCCAATAAAGTACAGCAGAAAGGTTGTCCATATATAAACAGTTAACTTATTAAACCTCACAATAATCTCTGTGTTTCTAGTAGTATAACCAAAGCAGTCATTTTTGATGCAAATGCAAAAACTACTCTGAAAATTTCTTATTCCAAAAATGAAACCTTCATCTGGTTGTAAATATTAAGATTATACCAGAAAGAATGAGTCTTTCTATTAAAAAAAAAATGATTTAAATCAAGTCTTACTGACTAGTGATTTAAATTGATGTGATGTAAATCAAATCCACCCTGAAGTATACCCAACCAAAAAATAAGCAATTTGAGTCATGCGACTCAACTTGCATTGACTAGACACAGCTTTTTTAAAGCATTGGGGGCTAAAGTCACTTCTGAGGCTCCTCTGGGATTAGGGGCCCTGAAGCCTCAGCTTCATCATTTTCATAGTAGAGTGGTACCTTGGTTCTCAAACGCCTTGGTACTCAAACAACCTGGAACCCAAACACTGCAAACCTGGAAGTAAGTGTTCCGGTTTGCGAACCTTTTTCGGAAGCTGAACGTGCTCCGTTTTGAGTGTTACGCTTCCAATTTGAGTGCCACACTTCCGATTTGAGTGTTACGCTGAGGTCTGTCTGTTTTTGCTATTTATTTTGCATTTTTTGCGTCTCTTTTTGTTTTGTTTTTCTGACTGTGTGGAACCCAGTTCAGCTACTGATGGCTTGATTGTGTGACTGCAAACATTGTTTATTGCTTTAGTTTTATGGATCAGTGGTCTCGTTAAGATAGTAAAATTCATGTTAGATTGCTGTTTTAAGGGTTGTTTTTAAAAATCTTGAATGGATTAATCCATTTTGCATTACTTTCTACGGGAAAGTATGCCTTGGTTTTGGAACACTTTGGTTTTGGAATGGACTTCCAGAACAGATTAAGCTTGAGAACCAAGGTACCACTGTAGATTTTTCCTGGGGAAAAGTGCATTTTCAATTCACTGAGCCTAGTGAAGCCCAGGGCCTACAATATGCTTCCCAGAATCCTTTGCAACACGCAGGGTGTCCTGAGTATTGGCAAAGAAATTTTCATGCAGGACTGGGGTCCCCCAAACTAGAATGTATGAAATCCGGTTGGACTAAAACACATATCGTTCCCACTTACAATATACACAGATCTGCTTTTAACCGCGTTCTTATATTGCTCCGTCACTTCCGGCAAAGGTTTGTTTGGAGATCTTCGGACTTTAGCTTTGTCTTCGCTAATTTCCATCAGCTCAGTCGTTGATTTTTTCAACGCCCCCACTATTACATCGAAGTCTTTTGTGAGGCGATTTAACCTAGGAAGGAAGGTAGAAAGGTGGGTAGAAAGAGGTAATTTTTGTCTTTTTAAAATATATATATATATATTACGTCTCCTCTAAATACAACCTGAGTGAAAATGTGGAAGCGTAGATGCCCTTTATGATTGGATTACATCAGGAAAAATGAAGAAATAGATGGAAAATCAATATATCGCATAGGAAATGTATTGGACACAAACTCCTTTTGCAGAAACGAAAGTTAATAAATTTGCAACTACAAACGAAAGTCAAGAAACCAGTGGCTGTTAAACGAAAGATTAAGATCGGAACTGCTGTAAATGGATTTATGAAGATTATGAAAGCAGGTAGAAATAAGAACCTCGTATCCTGAAACCCAGTGCACAGAAGTCACCTCAAATTGTTAATTCGGTTTTTGAATAATCGGCTCTGTTTTGAATTGGATTGTGATTGGGTACTGTGATAATGTGGCTTTTATTGGATTTGTACTAAATTCATTAAAAAATATAAAATATTGCTTGCACTACATTCAGATAACATGATGAAGGCTGCACAAATCCTTAAAACTGGTGCTCGCTTCGGCAGCACATATACTAAAATTGGAACGATACACAAATCCTTAAAACTGAAACCATTACCTTCTACTGAACATACTGGCTTGGATGCCAAAGTAAGGTTACGTAAGAAGCTCACAGTAGTAGTTTTACTCCTCAACCTGTAGTTTTCTCCTCACTTACCACCCCTTAAAGCAGGCTTCCTCAACCTCGGCCCTCCAGATCAGCAGTTCTCAACCTGTGGGTCCCCAGACGTTGTTGAACTACAACTCCCATCATCCCTGAGCTCTGGCCTTGCTAGCTAGGGGTGATGGGAGTTATAGTCCTACAACATCTGGGGACCCACAGGTTGAGAAAGGCCGCTCCAGATGCTTTTGGCCTACAACTTCCATGATCCCCAGCTAGCAGGACCAGTGGTCAGGGATGATGGGAATTGTAGTCTCAAAACATCTGGAGGGCCAAGGTTGAAGAAGTCTGCCTTAAAGCCTTGCTGGACAACATGGGATGCAGCAAAGGGGAGATGATGAGGGAGGCAGGACTCATTAGGACTCAACAAAAACCCCGTCGCCGCTTCCCCTTCCTTTAAGTTAACTTTGAATAAGCACCCATAGATTTACCTGTTGAATTTGATTAACGTTTCCAAAGTCACCCAGCCATCGTCCAGCTTGATCTTCTCCTGGAGGAACTTGTCCCGTGGCAAGTTGTGGTCGCCAAAATAGTACTATGACACAAGTATGAAGAGCGACACAAATATTAGAAGCCAAGCACAACCTACTGCTTCATTTAGCACCAAGAAGTCAGCTTCCAGAAGCCTTTCTTAAGAGCGTCATCAGAATTTACGGCACACATTTCTGAGCGCCAGGTGAAAAACGTCCGGATTTCTGTTCAACATTTTAAAATGCCTTAACGTCGTTCCCTCAATGGTTTTATATTACAAACTGCTTGCCAGAAGCTTGATGTATGAAAAATATCAGCACAGATGAAGCTACATTATTGAGTTCAAACCGCTCCCCGCCCCCAAAGGCAATTGTGACACTGGTCACAATTTGTGGGTGCTTAAAATTGTTCTGGCAATTCAATTCTGGACTCAGTCTCCTGAACTGCATCTCATCTCATGCGTCATCAGAACAAACGGATAATTTCTGCAGCTGCAGAACCCTTTACAGCTTCTTGCCTGACTTTTCAAGGCTGTTTTTAATCTTTGTTTTTACAAAGTCTGTTCAGCTTAAGAAGTATTGTACTTTATCAGTGATCGGCCAGCAAAGCCGTACAGATGGGGAGTCCTATTCCAAAACATCAGGCTGATACCAGGAATAAAACAGTTCTAAGCTGTGAGGAATCCTCATTTTAAGTACTCAATCAAGGCAGCTACACAAAGTTTATAACAGGCGTTTTGCATTAATGCTATGCTAGTCTCAATATTCGTACCTCAATCTGTTGGCAGACCTTCCTTTCCAAGTCAGACATGTTTTCGCTGTCTCCATTTTCGGCCATTTTCGCCACCTGTAATAAGAGCAATATTTCGCATCATTTAAGCACTAGGGCTCATTTAAATGGTTTAGACCCCACTTTAGCAGCAATTGCCTCTATTATTATAGAATGTTCTTCTTTTAGATCTGTGTTAGAAACACAGATATATAAACTAGGCAGCCAACGGGTTTACAGTCGGCCATTAAAAAAAAAAAAAAAAAATCAAAGATATATTTTAAAAAATATATGTATTTTAAAAATCGGAATTTTTCAATTTAAATTAATTTTTTTTTATTTAAATGCATCTGGACAAAAAAAAATTCTAAAGATAGTTTTCTATTTAAGTTACATTATAGTCCAAAGGCTATTCATCAGGAAATAAGGATTTGTTTTAAGTTTTTCATGTGTCTTAAAACTCAGTCTAAGTTTTTTTTTTAATTGTTTAACCACATCAGTTAACATGGTTACATATGCTATAAAGTTATTGTTTTAGTTAAATAAATTGTTTAAATTGTTATTAAGGAAATGATTATTTTTCTCCTTCCAATACAGTACAGCAGAAAAGTTGTCCAAATATAAACAATAATTTCATAATTACCTGTCTTTTTATTTCTAGTCCTATAACCAAATCAGTAATTTTTGATGTAACTGTAAAAACGACTCTGAAAATTTATTATTCCAAAAATGAAAGCTTTATCTGGTTGTAAATATTAAGATTATACCAGCAAGAATGAATATTTCTGTAAAAAAAAAAAAAGATTTAAATCAAGTCTTAATGACTAGTGATGGAAATCAATCTGATTTAAATCAAATCCACCCTGACCGTTGCTAAAATGAAATGCCTGATTGCCTTCTTTTGGCCAGATGGCTCAAAAGTAATGTTTTTCAATATGACTTTTTGGTTCCTGAAATTGATCCCGATTGTGCAGATATCACAGGTTGAATTCTACAGGATGTGTTGCTGGTGTGTGAAAACAGGCAAGACCCAAGGTTTCCCAGGCCAGATGGCGGAAACATCAGGCGCCATCCTGACGCCCGGGCATCTTCACTTGGTCGCAAGTGGCTGATGACCGGGTGCAAAATGCACCTGGCAAATTTCGAACGCTGTTGTAAATGTATATTGATTACCAAGCAAGTCTAAAAAAAAACATACGCCCCACATTTCAGATTTGAGCCACCTCCTGGCACAGGTTCAAGACATCCAGCATCTCCCCATAGTGCCTAATGAAAATAAGAAATCGCGCTATCCGTTACCCTGTGGCAGGGCCGGCCCAATATATTTTGCCATTTGAGGCGAGCTGCAGAATGGAGTCCCCCTCCCAGCCAGGGAAGTAGGGGTGGGTGAAGATCGACATCAGGATCAAGGGGGACAATAAATACCGTATTTTTCGCTCTTTTAGAGGGGGAGAACAAGAAAAAAAATTCTCTCCCTCTCTGCACAGCGCCCCTTCAGTGAAGCAGTAGGAGAAACGGAGCCCCTTCCATTTCTCCTCCCGCTTCGCTGAAGGGGCGCTGCGCAGAGCGAAAGCTGCGCAGCACCTCTCCAGCGAAGCAAAGCCAAGAGAGCAAGAGGGATCAGTGCGCACTGACCCCTCTTGCTCTCCAGGCTTCAGCGATAGCAACGCGAAGCCTCCGGAGCGCGGCGGGAGCGCTCCCACTGCGCTTCGGAGGCTTTGTTGCTATCGCTGAAGCCATGGAGCCTGCATTCGCTCCATAAGACGCACACACATTTCCCCTTAATTTTTGCAGGGGGGGGGGAGTGCGTCTTATAGAGCGAAAAATTACAGTATCTACCTTGGAACCTACCACCTGAGGTGATCGCTTCCACTTGTCTCACGGGTGGGCCGGCCCTGCCCTGCCCTGCCCTTTGGGCAGCAGAGGACCATGAGCCCCTGTTAGAAACTCAGGTGTATAAGCTAGACACCAAACAGCTCCTTAAACCAAGATTAGTCACCGAAACAGAACGCCTAGTTGCCATTTTGGGGCAAGACAACTCTAAATTATTATCTTCAAAGGGTGGACTGGTGGTGACTGATTATCAGTTAAAACACCTGGCAGGTTCTGCTGACAAGCTTGAGCTGGGTTAAGAAATTTGAGAACTTAAAAGAAAGGTCACTTTATCAAGGGACAGTCCACATATATACTGACTTCTTTTTCTTAATGGTGACACAGATCATTCATAACATGAGAACGTCCTTCACAACTATGAGGAGGGCAGCGGGGTGAGGTACCATATTTTTCCGTGTATAAGACTAAGTTTTATTATGTAAAAATCATGCTAAAAATGGGGTTCGTCTTATACCTGGGTAGTGCATAGGGTTGACGTTTGATTGGTTGCTGCCGCGGCTGTCAGCAGCTATTGTGAGTGTTATTGGTTGCTGCGTCAATGGGTGGTGTTGAATGGCTGACGCTGCGCCAATTGGGCGGGCTATTGTCAGCTTCTGCCGGCAAGGGGACAGACGAGAGTCGGATTTTGCTACGTGTGCAGGCGAGCGATTTTTGGCAACCTCCCCTTAAAAAAGCTGAACAACCCAGGGTAATTCCCCCACCCCCAAAAAGCTCCGAAACTCTGAGCAACCCTTCGCAAAAATAAAAGCTCAACATCTCCCCCTATTTTCTTAAATTTGAGCCCCCCATGATACATGGGGGTGTCTTATACACAGAAAAGTATGGTAAGTGAAGATAAGGTAAAGGTAAAGGGACCCCTGACCATTAGGTCCAGTCGTGGCTGCCTCTGGGGTTGCGGCGCTCATCTCACTTTCTTGGCCGAGGGAGCCGACGTACAGCTTCCGGGTCATGTGGCCAGCATGACTAAGCCACTTCTGGCGAAACAGAGCAGCACACGGAAACGCCATTTACCTTCCCGCTGGAGTGGTACCTATTTATCTACTTGCACTTTGACGTGCTTTCGAACTGCTAGGTTGGCAGGAGCAGGGACCAAGCAATGGGAGCTCACCCGATTGCGGGGATTTGAACTGCTGACCTTCTGATCAGCAAGTCCTAGGCTCTGTGGTTTAACCCACAGCGCCACCCACGTCCCACAAGTGCAACAATTAACTACAGCGTTGTTCACTGTTCTTGTTAAGGCTGCGCACTGAAAGCATTTTGGTTCCTGAAATTGTGCAGATAAGATATGGCTGATAGAGTTCTATACGATTGTGGGTATTTGTGTGTGAAAACAGTCAAGATCCAACGATCCCCAGATGTGCACCTCCAGGTGATGTCAGGTGTCATCCTGGGGCCCAGGCACCTTCACTTGGGTGCAAGTGGCCAATAACTCAGTGCAAAATGCTCCTGGCCAATTTTGAACACTGTGAACAATATAACACAACATGATGGCCAATAACAATGGCACTAAACACTATTTACAGACTAATACAAATGATCAGAAATTACAGCCAAAGTCTCTAAATCTTCTTCACCAGTCGCCACAGAATAATTCAAAAGTTCGATCTATACATAATCTGTCACCAATCTTCTTCCCTCCACTTCACCCCCCCAAAAGTCCTCATCCCACCAATCTCTCCATTTTTATCAAAGGGAGGGCAAGTAAGCAAAAAGATAGTCTCCTTTAAATAAATAAATAAATAATAAAAACAACAATAGCAATCCCTTCCTTTCTGATATGGATAAAAGCTATTTAGGGTGAACCATCTGGTTTCGCCAGAAGCGGCTTAGTCATGCTGGCCACAGGACCTGGAAGCTGTCTGCGGACAAACGCCGGCTCCCTCGGCCAAGAAAACAAGATGAGCGCCACAACCCCAGAGTCGGCCACGACTGAACCTAATGGTCAGGGGTCCCTTTACCTTTACCGTTAAGTGGAAAGACAATTTCTTAGCAGTTAGGAGGGGGCAAACATAGCTGAAGCCTGCACATTATCTGCAAAGAATCTTCAAAGTATCCTGTTCAGCAGAGCTACCCCCTGGGAAGCTGTCAAATGTCCACCTTTGGTTCACATGTATATTGCCTTGTTCAAACATTTATCACAATGTTATTTCAATACAGTGGTACCTCGGGTTACATACACTTCAGGTTACAGACTACGCTAACCCAGAAATAATAGCTCGGGTAAAGAACTTTGCTTCAGGATGAGAACAGAAATCGTGCTCCAGCGGCCCCATTAGCAAAAGTGGTGCTTCAGGTTAAGAACAGTTTCAGGTTAAGAACGGACCTCCGGAACGAATTAAGTACATAACCAGACGTACCACTGTACCGGTCGACTCAATGGTATGGCGATTTATTGCCCAGTACTACTAAACAGTCTGTGCTGCTGGACCCTTACCTTAAACTGGGATCTCCAGCGGTTGTTGGACTACAACTCCCTGACCACTTGGTCCTGCTAGCTAGGATGATGGGAGTTGTGGTCCAACAACAGCTGGAGATCCAAGTTTGAGAAACACTAAGAGATTAAAGAGCGCCACTAGTTATAGATACCGGCCACCGATTTCAAGAAGTCATGCCGCATGGCTGATATCAGCCTGACCTCACTTTTACCAAATGAGATACTACCAAAAAAATAGAGAACTCTTCTCTTGTGTATTACTCATGTGAGAAAGGGACGCAAAACAAAAACCCGAAGGATCGGAAAGTCGAGCCTTTGCCACACCTCCGTGAGCATTTGCAGTAAAGGACTCCTAGCTGCCAATCAAACCATCCTCCACGTGGTCCAAACCTGCGCGCACAAGAGCGCTGCGTGGTGCTCTTCCTCGCCGGCCACCTCCAATAGGAAAAAGCTCCCTGGGCATTTAAAATGCAAGTTTCTCCCTTGAACACGTCGCCTGCGTGTTCCGAGAAGTTCCCCGCTCCGCCTTCACGTGCGTTAAAAGCAAAGCCAAGAAAAAACACGCGTGGGAAGCCTTAAAGCGGGGAAAGAGACGGATTACTCCCCCCCATCACGCCAAGCGGCGCATCCGTGCTCCCCAAAGAGACCCCGCGACCACCGCATTCCGGGGTTTGACCTACACGTGTAGGTCACGTCTGGAGAGCGTTACAACGAGCAAGCGCCCCTGGGAAAGAAATCTCAACTCTCCTGGGTTTTGAACCTCCAGCATTTCCTTCTGTTGCGCGCACACGGGCCCTGTTTGTAGCTCAGCTCCTTCCCCGGGCTGGGGGGAAAGAGCAGGCCTCGTCGTGGGAACCCGTCGCCGGCGGAGGCGCGCAAGCAAGCCGACCCTCCTCGCTGCCCACCCGGTGCGGCGAAGCCCGAAATCCCACCCGGGGAGCCCACCCGGGACGCACGTGGGGACGTCCACCCAAGTCTGGAAGGAGCTCCGGGCAGCCGCGCGCAAGGCAGGCGCTCCCCAAAAGCTCCGGAGCCAGGATTACGCGCCCGCGGAAACGAACCAACCTTCGCCCAAAGCAAACCCCGGCCTCTCCTTTTCTAGATCGCGTAGGCCGCCGGCGCCGCTTCTCCGTGCGCCTTTACGCGCTCCCGTCCTCCTCTCGCCGGCCAGCCCAGCAGCCTGTGCGGCGCTGGCCGCACCCCTTTCCCCGGCCCGGCCCACGAGGGCTGGGCTTCCGCGGCGCCCGCCTCCTGAATCCGGATCCTCGGAAGGTGCCCAGCGAGCAGCGGGTTGTCAGGATCGTTTGCAAAGATCACCGGCAAAGGAGCAGGAAGCGGGCGCGCACCGTGCAGCTCCTAATATGATCGTCTTGCGTGCGATTCTATGGCTAAATATCAGGAAGAAATTTCTGACAGTAAAAAATATTCAGGGTAAAGCCAGCCTCGTTTGTTTTTTTAGCATAGCATAGCTAAACTATCGATTTTGTTAAAGCGGGAAGTGGCGACAGCCTCGCAGCCCTTATTGGAAGCTAGGTAATCAATAAAAAAGTAAATAAAGCACCTCTCTGAGCATGTATGAAGTACACATCTCTAATTATTGATCGATCATAAGCTGCAGCACCCACCTGTTTGGCAATCGGGTACAGATTTGGGGATAACATATCTCATTTGACCTGTGATGATTAAGCACAACCATTGCCCTGCTTTTCAGCTGCGGGTTATCCCCTTGCTCAGGTCAGTCAAACGGGATTAAAGTCTTCAAAGCAGTGTGAACTTCCATAGAATTTTCCATAAACAGGAAAAATCAAAACGTTTCCATTAATATCAGATTGGTTATTGGGGATTTGGTGTGCTGTATTTTTGATTAAATTAACGTACTTAACTACAGTCGGATAACATTCACTGAGAAATGGGGTATATTTCTAATGCATTGGGACCTGAACGTACAAAAGGCACAATGGTGTACTATTGATGTATTGCGTAAGCATACCCCCCCACCCCACCCCCAGCCAATGATATAATTATTTATTTGATCGCTTCTTGAAAGCCTGTTGGCATGGTTGAGAAAAAATGGCTGAGGTTACTTCAAGGAAACGGTATTCTTCCCTCTTGGTCCTCAACACATTTCCAGATGTACTAGAGGCAACTCCCATTTTAGGCACTACCAATACTGTATGTGAGCAATCGTGCACATGCGCACATCACCAAACCCTGAAGTGACCCAGGGTGGACAGGGGTGGAATACAGTGGTACCTCGGGTTACATATGCTTCAGGTTACAGACGCTTCAGGTTACAGACTCCGCTAACCCAGAAATATTACCTCGGGTTAAGAACTTTGCTTCAGGATGAGAACAGAAATCGTGCAGTGGCGGCGCAGTGGCCCAATTAGCTAAAGTGGTGCTTCAGGTTAAGAACAGTTTCAGGTTAAGAACAGACCTCCAGAGCTACCGGTAATGAAGTTATTAACCCGAGGTAATGGGGTGTTTGCAGGCTTTTTCAATTGCACACAATTTCACGGAAGCAAGCGATGACCCAGAATGCAAGCCCTGCACAAGTTGGGGGTTGCCTGTGTTTTCAGTGGGATAAGATATTAGATTAGTCTATTTTTCCCCAAAGTTAATGAACACATCTTGAAAAAGGGTTTCACGTAGTGTATTCCTTATAATTTAGAAAACAGTGCAGCGTTTTGTTTACTCCTGAAAGTAAATCACATTTTACAAATGCACAACATACTTAATGTGAATTAAATATAAATTAAATATAAACAACAACAATAAATACAATTGTAACGAGAACCTGAAAGCTCTACATTCTAATCCTTTTCCGCTTCCATAAATAATAATGTTCCAGGTATAGTAATAACTCTGAAGTCGTGACCGGAACAGTGGCACTCGCAGTTTGTAAACATTTATGCGGATGTCTCCTGCATTGTCATCCTGAAACTGTTACAGGTGGGTTCCTTTTCTTAGTACTTGCTATCATTGTGCTGGTGAAGCAACTTTTTTGGAAATAAGAAAAGGACTGAAGTGATATTACAGTGCTGGTACTTCTGAACTAAAATCCAAATAGTAATTCTTAAAGTTCTTGTGACTGCTTTGCTCCTCACCCTCTCCATTCCCGTGGTTGCCATGCTGCCAGGAACCAATCCATTAACATTATGTGCCAACCTGGGCACATGCTTTGTCTTGCTCAAAGCTCCGCAATGAGCTGTCACCAAGGTTTGTGCTTGACTTATCAGGGAAGACAAACCATGAACTCAGGTTTACATGTAATGCTAAGTCAAACCATGGTATAGGTGTCTGTAGCATGGTAGCTGCAGGACCAGGGTAGGAGTGAAGTGGCCATGACTTTCTAGTTGCACACTTGCTTGTTCACGGTAAGGCATAGTTTGGCTTAGCATTTGGTGCTATGTAAGCCAAGAAAAGGAGGCAATGTTTTATAAGCAGCTGGTTATCGTCAGTGGCCTAGACCACCAATTCAATTGTTTACATTTTCAAAAAGTCATTTTTAGGTCGTCATTCTGAAACACAAACGCGATATGCAAAAGTAGTTTTACAACTATGAAAGCTAAACGATACATTTCTAGTCCAAAATGCATTTGAAAAGCACATTGTTCAAATTTATAGCGTAGCGAGTTAGGTAATGTACAAAAAGTGGGGTCTTCTGCCCAGTCAGATCCAAGAAAGTACCACTGCCTAACCTCGTATGACCCTAAAATTAGGGAGTTGTGCTCATTTCCACACACCCCTCCTATATTTTATTTTGACAGATATTGTACCATTCATACACAACGGCAACACAGTAGTACCATAAATTTAATAAAGGAGGTCAACCTATAGCGTAGATGCCACCTATTGATTAGAAATAAATTGTAGGCAGTGGTGTCGGTCTCTCGGATAAAAATCCAAAAGCAACAGTAGCACAATAACTATTTCAGGGCCGATTAAAAATATCACAAAATAGTGACCAACCTGCTGAGTTCACCCTAACCCTTACAGAGCTTGTATGTAAAGCCAAACAACTTTCCAAATGTCAAGGGCAGAGTGGAAAAGGGGGGGGGGGTGTGCTGGGTATTATGAGAAGCCCAAGTCTGCAGCTTGCTATGATCCTGAGATAAAATGGAGATGTTATACCGGAGATGGAGAACCCATGACCATTAGTCACACTGGTTGGGACGGATGAGACTTGGAGTTTAGCAATATATGGAAAGTCACAGACTCCTCCTCATCCCTGTTTAACATGGGCTTTAATACCTTATATTGTGCAAAAAATAACTTGGTTCACACACATACAAAAACCAATGTTTGTCCTCCCTTTAGAAATATAAAACCCTAACCCAGGCATAGGCAAACTCTGGCCCTCCAGATGTTTGGGACTACAACTGTTAGCTAGGGATGATGGGAATTGTAGTCCCAAACACCTGGAGGGCTGGAGTTTGCCTATGCCTGCCCTAACCCCCCAACAGTTAATCAGATCTGGCAGCAACCAAACATTCACATTGCTTGTAGGGCGGAGAACAGTAGTAACAAAAGAAGTGGTAGCCCTTGTATCAACAATGTTGGAGCTTAACTGGAGTTGATGCACTAGGCTTAGTGTCAATAAAAGCCAAACGGAGTAGTGTTCCATAGTGACTGAATACCATAGGCTAAGTCCCATCATTAGGTGGTGGGTCACCTTCCTCTAGTTTTGGGCTCCCTTATATTATTAGTTCCTTGTCCCGTAAGTGGCATTTTCAACCTCTAGCACACTGTACAGGGAGACACAGCCATGTGAGCGCATAGAACTGGGGAGATCCCCCACAATTTCCCATGTATCACATTCAGGATCATACTTCTCAATGTTCTGCAAATACGACCCTTTGGAAGAGGAATAGCCTCCCGTCACATAGATGCATCCATTCATGACGACAGCGCCGCACTCCATCCTTCTTTCTATCATATCAGCCTTCTGTTTCCACACATTCTGCTCTGGGTCATAGCAATCCGTCACCGTCGATTGTCCACCCACAAGGTACAGCTTGTTCTCCAGAGCAATGGAACACAGCCCATATTCTACAGGTAAAACAGAGAGTGCCGAAAAACACCGAATAAGCATTTGAAGAAAAGGAAGAAAAAGGGCAGGCAGAAGGATTGCTCAGTTGGTTAGAGCGTGGCGCTGATAATGCCAAGGTTGCAGGTTCGGTCCCCGAATGGAACAGCTGCATACTGTACAGTGGTACCTCGGGTTACATACGCTTCAGGTAACATACGCTTCAGGTTACAGACTCCGCTAACCCAGAAATAGTGCTTCAGGTTAAGAACTTTGCTTCAGGATGAGAACAGAAATTGTGCTCCAGCGACGCAGCGGCAGCAGGAGGCCCCATTAAGCTAAAGTGGTGCTTCAGGTTCAGAACAGTTTCAGGTTAAGAACGGACCTCCGGAACAAATTAAGTACTTAACCTGAGTTACCCCTGCATTGCAGGGGGCTGGACTAGATGGTCCACAGGGTCCCTTCTGTGGGAATGTTCAGGGAGGCAGGAGAGGATATATTGTTTATTAATATCCTTCCTAACTTGCACTAGCAAGTTCTATAATTTAGCAGAGTTTTAACATTCCCCTTTAAACTCACTGCTTATCATGCTTTTGTGCATTTTTTGTTACTCCTTATCATGCTTTTGTGCATAAAACCACATGGATGGAATGTGTCTGTAAAAGCACAAGATCATAAGTTTGCTGGCATTCTTGATCAACGTGATGAAATGTATGGTCATGTGTGTTCATTCCATGGGCATGCATCCATCTGTCTTCTCCAATACAGTGGTACCTCGGGTTACATACGCTTCAGGTTACATACGCTTCAGGTTACAGACTCCGCTAACCCAGAAACAGTACCTCGGGTTAAGAACTTTGCTTCAGGATGAGAACAGAAATCGTGTGGTGGCGGTGCGCCAGCAGCGGGAGGCCCCATTAGCTAAAGTGGTGCTTCAGGTTAAGAAGTATTTCAGGTTAAGAACGGACCTCCGAGATGATGGATTTTTCAGAGCTAGCCGACCTAATCGGAAGAGTGCGCAACCAGAAGGAGGAGGAGTATCAGGAAGAGTGGATTAAATTTAATGATACTTAGTTAAATATGTTAAGTTAAATTAACTGAAAACAGCTTGCAGATACTTAATTGGCTCAGGATTTTATTTATGTTAAGTGTCGAACTAATATGTTTAATTTCATAATGTGAAGATTTAAGGATGTTAATGTTTAAGTTAAATTTTATAAGAACTGTGATTTGGAAAACCGTTAAAAGGACATGCAATGAAATTCAACCAAGGGGAAGCGAGGAAGTCACTTAACAATGTTAACAAGTGTAATTTTCAATAAGGCTATGATTCATGTTTGTCTGTCTTACGTGTTTGTTTGATTATAATGTTGTGAAAACCAATAAAAAAAATTTTGGGGGGAAAAAAGAACGGACCTCCGGAACGAATTAAATACGTAACCAGAGGTACCACTGTATAGATTCCTGGTAAGATCCCTTATTTCCCTCTTAAAAGAATAAACACGCCACAATCTTGTTTAAGATATATAAAAGTAGTTTATTCACATCATCAGTTCACAGTTGGATCCCCGAAGGCAGACCTAGTTACATGTGGATCTACCCCATATGGGGGGTTCACCCCAGTGACTGCAGACTGACAGTCACGGCAGCTCACGCAACGAAAGGAAGATGGAGAAGGAAGAGATCTTACCAGAAATCTATGGTGAGAAGCTTAAACAAGCTTGCAACCAGCTACCCACTGTGCGTTTAAAGGGGAATGTTAAAACTATGCTAAATTATAGAACTTGCTAGCGCAAGTTAGGAAGGATATTATTACTAAACAATATATCCTCTCCTGCTTTCCTGAACATTCCCACACCTTCCAACTCTACAGTCCCTAAATGGTAGTAATACAGCGGGAGCAGAGTGTGTGGGCCATAATACAAAAGCACTGGGGGAAAACTGAACAGGCAGAAACAGCAAAAGAAGGGGGAGCAGCAGGTTCTTGTGAGTCAGCAGTGGGCTCCCTGCAAGGAAGTGGGTTACTCAACAATGCCTGTTAATGCCCTAGTATTGCTAGTTGGCTGTGAGCTTTTGAATGTTAACGTGTGGGTGCAAATCAGCAGAGCAGCTGCAGATATTTCTTTTCTTGGACGAAAAACAGGCAAATTGCTGCTTTTGGAAGGCAATTATTCAAACCACCGAGCGGAAGTAAAGCTTACCTGGATACGGACTGGTGGTGATGACATTCCATTCATTAATATTAGAGTGGTAACTTTGAACTTTGTCGTAAGTGCAGCTTCCCCGATAACCGTAGTGACCTCCAGTGACATAGATAACTTCGTTCAAGACACAGGCTGTGGCATTCCCAACCCCTAATTAATAAAAACTGAAATTGCTAAAAAGCTTTAAAACGGAGTAACATTCACCATCAAGTTAGGAATACAACTAATATATAAATAATGGTACAATATATAAGCAATGATATAATGGTATAGAAATACAGAACTATAAATTCAAGATTTAAAATTATTTCAGAATAAATTATAAAGGTAAAGGTACCCCTGCCCGTACGGGCCAGTCTTGACAGACTCTGGGGTTGTGCGCCCATCTCACTCAAGAGGCCGGGGGCCAGCGCTGTCCAGAGACACTTCCGGGTCACGTGGCCAGCGTGACAAAGCTGCATCTGGCGAGCCAGAGCCGCACACAGAAACGCCGTTTACCTTCCCGCTAGTAAGCGGTCCCTATTTATCTACTTGCACCCGGGGGTGCTTTCGAACTGCTAGGTTGGCAGGCGCTGGGACTGAGCAGCGGGAGCGCACCCCGCCGCGGGGATTCGAACCGCCGACCTTTCGATCGGCAAGCCCTAGGCGCTGAGGCTTTTACCCACAGCGCCACCCGCGTCCCTATAATAAATTATACCGTACACTAAAGGCTTTTTCTGGTTTATCTTGGAAGTTTTTCCAATAATTTTATATATGTGCATTTGGTCACAGTGCTTAAGAAGAAACAAGGTAGGGATGGCAATATATTCTGCTGATCAAGCTTGTAAGTGAGAATGCACAAGTTTGTATATTTTCATTTGAAATTTGTTGAGGAAGGCAACACAAGAACTTCAAATGATTTAATAGAAGACAATAATATCCAAAACATTAAGAGAAATGTGGTCCTGATAAAGAGTTATGAACAGCTAATAAGCACAATGAATGCACTTGAAGCTTAAGCTACAGTGATAGATTGTAGATTCAGGTAGGTAGCCGTGTTGGTCTGACGCAGTAGAAATAAAAAATTGTCCAGTAGCACCTTATAGACCAACTAAGTATAAGCTTTTGTGTGCATGCACGTATCTGAAGAAGTGTGATGCCCGAACAGGACGCGGACTATAAAAAATGGGGGGCCGGAAGTCTGAATATAAATAGCTCATGAAATGCAAATAAGAGTGCTCCGGCCCTAATAGGCAAGCCACGCCCCAGCCACATTGCTGGCTGGAGGTGTGCCGTCGGATTCCCTTATTGTAACCGCCAGGAGGAAGAATTCCCCGGAGGCTTGCAGTGCGTGTGCTGCGAAGCACGAGGCAGCCGCCCGGCGCCGAATTATGGGGGCTCCAAAAATTTTTTGAGGGGGCTCGAGCCCTCAAGCCATGACGGCCCTATGACCCAGACTGTATATCAAACAAACATTAAATTCTGAGCAGATTCGTTGTATAGTCAAACATAAATTCGAAAAAGGCAACTGACAATGTTTCTTCACTCAGGCAATTGCATCTCACACATTTCTTTTCATGGGCAGAAGGCTGATCCGGCTGTCTTTTAGAAGCTTGAACAAAAAATAAATTGTGTATCCTAGGGGAGAGGGAAAAAAATATTCATTGATTTTTTAAAAGACACATGCGAAAATACGAATAAGCATGCAATATTCCACCGTACCTTTAATCATGTTTGCAATAGGGACCCATTATCTTTTTTAAAGGGTCATAGAAATTCTGCTTCTTCAGCTGGAGCCCCTTTTCTGTAACCCCCTAAAGCGTAGATGCAGCCGCTCAAGGTAACTGCGCAGTGGTAGTACCTTGCGTTAAGCATTGGACAGCCTTCAACCCATTCATCGGCTTCACAGTTGTATATCCACATGACATCGAGGGATTCTATATTGTCTGTTCTATAGCCGCCTGTCACATAAATGTTGGGCCCCAGACTAGCAACTGCATAACTTTCCCTCGCGTGGTCCGGCATGTCAGCTCCCTGGATCCAGACATTGGCGACTGGATCCCATGCATGCACCTCAGATAAAGGATGCCAGTAGTACCCGCCAATCACGTACATAACAGCCGTAGACTTCGTAGGAACTGCTTTTGGGTTGGGGCGCAGCGCGTTGTGTATTAGAGACCGGATCTTGTTTTCATTCAGCCGGCTTTTCTTGTGCAAGCTTAAAGCTGACCTCAGATACATTTCATCTAAATCTGCTTCGAGGCAGCTCAGCAGATCATAAATGCACTCTATTCTCTTTTCCACGTCGTAGGCTATCCACTTAACAATGGGTTCCACGGCTGCCCCCTCTTTCCAAAGGCCGAGGTTCTTTCTGGAGAGAATAAACTGGAGCTTCTTGCTGCTGATTTCCAGAAATTCTTCCTGCGCCCACACCTCATCAAATCTCGATAACAATATCCTTCTAGATTCCTTCTCCAGCTCTGAGCAGACGTGGTGTTCTGCAAAGGAGTGCATTCCTAGGCAGTTGTCGACATCCAAGTGCCGTATCAGAAACCGCTCACAGGCTTTTTTCACCGGGGCAAACTGAAGGAGGTCTGCTGCTTGGAGCAGGCTTTGGACATTTCTCTTTGTTATTTGAATCTCTGATGTGTAAGCGTAAATCACCAGGGATTCCAGTATTGTGGGACTGAGCCCAGAAAGTTTGACCTGGTTCTTAGACCTTTCTTTCATGTCAGAGGTGAACATGGCCTTGAAATAGTTGCTGCAAGCAGCTAGCACAGCTTTATGGCAATGGAAAACCACGCCTGATGCACATTGAAGGGCAATATCAGTGAATACACCTTCAAGGTAGAATGTTCTGAATGCATCCAAGAACTCCACAGGATGAGAGCTGTCTCTGTATATATAGGTATATTCCTCCTGCTCAGTCAGTGCCATCACTGCAATAAAATGTAAAGAAATGGTAAAGAAATGAAGATTGTAGAGCCTCCTTATGCCTAAGTAAGCCCTACTGAATTAATATACAGTGGCACTTCGGTTTTAAGAACGGACCTCCGGAACGAATTAAGTACTTAACCCGAGGTACCACTGTACATTAAGAAAATATCAAAATAGGATACATCACGTTCCTGCCCAGGCACTAACCATCTTGTTTAACAATGGAACAGCATCAAATTATCTCAGGCAGTGCTCTATTTCTCTTGAAAGAAAGAATATATACTGTATAGACAAACATATTTATATAGCAATACATTTCTCAATTAACAGGCACCAGATGGGATGGTTAAAATAGAAATAAAATAAAATTTTGACTTCACAGTTTCCAAAAACTTGTATTCGGTTTCAATGACCAATCAGTGATTATTATTTTTTTAAGCATATGAAACACGAATCAGTACAATCCTAAGCACACTTATCCGGGAGTAAAACCCAAGCAACACAATGGAGTTTACTTCTGAGAGGACATGCGTCGTAGGATTGCATGGCTAGTAGGGAGTGACTCCCGTTTAATGTAATGGGTCTTACAGCGCTACATTAAACAGGCTTACTTGGAAGTAAGTCCTAGGTGGAATCAAGACACGTATAAAAAAACGTTGTGAAAATTCTTATTTATTCTTATTCTATCTGACTTTTAGAAGACATCTGAAGGCAAGTTTTTAAGGTTTGATGGTGTTTTTAATATTCTGTTGGGAGCCACCAAGAGTGGCTGGGGAGACCCAGCCAGATGGGCGGGGTATAAATAATAAATTATTACAATTATTAAATGCTTTTTAAAAAAAGTTTTGAAAAACATATGTGGAATTTTCCATAGCTCACCGTCGCCATCTAGTGTCACATTTGTACAATGCAACTTTACAGCACCCTCGGAACGTTTTATTTGCAGCTGCGTAACCTACTGAATTCAATGGGGCGTCTTCCCCCATTAAGTGGGATTGCAACTTCTCTTCCTTAGGATCACGGGACGCAGCACCACACACGAGAGCGCAGGAAAGTCTGGGCTCCTGCTGCTATGCACACGTTCAAAAGCACAGCGCCTGCCAGGGCCAGATTTAGATTTGATGAGGCCCTAAGCTACTGAAGGTAATGGGGCCCTTTATACGTCCAGCTGCCCTTTGTCAACAACAAATTGTCACTGTTTTTTTTTGTGTCGAATACATGCTATATGGTAATTTACGGACCTAAGAGGTATCCAAAGCCATTTGCACATAACAAAATATGCATTTTATCAAAATCATTGTTGAACTGAAATACAATTAAGAAGTATATTAATAGTAAAATACAATTATGTTACAGGGAACCAGGCAGGGTGCCTTCTCGGTAGTGGCGCCCGTCCTGTGGAACGCCCTCCCACCAGATGTCAAAGAGAACAACTACCAGACTTTTAGAAGACATCTGAAGGCAGCCCTGTTTAGGGAAGCTTTTAATGTTTAATAGATTATTGTATTTTAATATTCTGTTGGAAGCCGCCCAGAGTGGCTGGGGAAACCCAGCCAGATGGGCAGGGTATAAATAATAAATTATTATTATTATTATGAAGTATATTAATAGTGAAACACAAGAAGTATATTCATAGTGAAATAATTATTAAGTTTTAACTTAAAATGATTTTTTATCAAGACGTCTGAAGGCAGCCCTGTTTAGAGAAGCTTTTAATGCTTGATGTATTACTGTATTTTAATATTTGGTTGGAAGCCGCCCAGAGTAGCTGGGGAAGCCCAGCCAGATGGATGGGGTATAAATAATATTATTATTATTATTATTAAGTATATTAATAGTGAAACACAATGAAGAAGTATATTAATATTGAAATAATTAAGCTCTAACTTAAAATGATTTTTTATTCATAACAAAATAATGCAAAGACACTGGCATTTGGAAATAACAATTTTAGAAATACAATTTACAGACTCATATTTTGGGGGGGCCCCCAAGAGAGTGGGGCCCTAAACTATAGCTTGTTTAGCTTATACCCAAATCCGAAACTGGCGCCTGCAGACAAAAGCCAGCAGTTTGTCCTGCACCGGCAGCGAGACAAAAGGGAGCCAATTCGAAGTCACGCGTTTGCCGCGTTTCGTTCCGCGCGCTCGGGAAGACGACTAGTAGGAAAAAACGCCCCCGATAGGAAACGGGCTCGGGGGGCCTCGGTTTGGGGAGAGCGAAGGTGGTCGCCTGCCTCTCCAGACATTTCCCAAAGGCCGAGAGCGCGACCCAAAGAGACACCCCTCTCGCTCGCGCGTGTATCGTGACAGAGACACACCCCGCCCCACACAAACAAACACACAGCGGCGCGCGGCGCGGAGACCCACCTGCTCTCCACGCGCAACCTAGGCGGCGGCGGGAGCGCGGAGGAGCTCGGCCGGAGGAGAGGCGCGCGCCCGCTTCCCGAAATTAAGGGAAAAAGCGCGAGACAAAAGGCGCCCCCCCCCCCGCCGCGCGCGTCTATCGCCTCAGGCTGCTGCGCGTGGAGCGCGCGCTCCCCTCAGGATGGCCCTTGTGCGCGCATGGAGGGGGGGCGCCCTGTCATTATTGGGGTTGCTGGAGGAGAGACCCCGCCGGTTCGCGTGACTTGCTGCTGCCTCGTCCTCTCTTCTGACCGAGGGGGACCTGCAAAAAAATGGGCTCGCTGCGCGCCGGCGGCTGCTGCGCCCCCGGGCGACCGGTTGCAATTCCTCCGCGAGTGTGCGCGGGTCAGAAGTATTGGCCGCGGATCTTCTGGGGGAAAGCAAAGGCGGCGGCGCTTTCCTCAGGCAGCAGCACCCGGCGCGACCCTTTCTTTGACCATCTTTGGGAAGAAGAGGCGCCGCTAGCCAAGCTGTCCGCGAGCAGATGGCCTGAACGGCAGCGGCAGCAGCACCGGCAGCAGCAGCTCCTATTTTGGTGCCTCGGCTGCCTCTCCCTCCACCCGCTGCTCCCTGGAGGCCGAAGGCAACGAGGGCCTTTTAATAGCTTCTGCCTCAGGCTTTTGAATTATGGTGCTGGAGGAGACTCTTGAGAGTCCCATGGACTGCAAGAAGATCCAACCTCTCCATTCTGAAGGAAATCAGCCCTGAGTGCTCACTGGAAGGACAGATCCTGAAGTTGAGGCTCCAATACTTTGGCCACCTCATGAGAAGAGAAGACTCCCTGGAAAAGACCCTGATGTTGGGAAAGATGGAGGGCACAAGGAGAAGGGGACGACAGAGGACGAGATGGTTGGACAGTGTTCGCGAAGCTACCAGCATGAGTTTGACCAAACTGTGGGAGGCAGTGGAAGACAGGAGTGCCTGGCGTGCTCTGGTCCATGGGGTCACGAAGAGTCGGACACGACTAAACAACAACAACAACATAAATAACCCAGAGATGCATTTTAAATAAAAGGACACATTCTACTCATGTAAAAACATGCTGATTCCTGGACTGTTCGCAGGCCAGATTTAGAAGGCGATTGGGCCGTATCCGGCCCCCGGGCCTTTGTTTGCTTACCCATGACGTATAAGCTAAACAAGCTATAGCTTAGGGCCCCACTCTCTTGGGGCCCCCCAAAAAATGTAAAGGGAAAAAACTGGATGTACATTTCCAAAATATAAGATAAAAAACAAATAAAATAAAACCTACATACAGCAAGGGTGTTTTGTGTTGTGTAGGCTCCTGTGGTGTAAGTCATGGTCCCCGGCTGGTAGCCTGCTCCCTAAAATATCACTGGTTTGCTCATTTCTGTATATAGGGTGCCTACATTCTGCATGGGCTTTAGATACCTCTTAGGTCCGTAAATTACCATATAGCATATATTCAACACAAAAACAACGGCAATTTGTTGTTGACAAAGGACAGCTGGACATATAAAGGACCCCATTACCTTCAGTAGCTTAGGGTCTCATCAAACCTAAATCCAGCCCTGGGTGTGTGTTTTTGCCTTGCCCAGTCCCTGTCCAGCCGGAGCCCACATTGCAGGCTGCTTGCTGCTGCACAGAACTTAATGGGAGCCACCAAGAACCAATGAAGCTCTCCTCAATATAGGAAAAATAAGGGTGGTTGGCTTTTGCTGCCCAACGGTGCAAGGGAATGCGTCCCCTAAGTCCATGATCGGTCAGAGATGAATGGATGGAGGCCGGATGCAGCGAAAGCAAGGCAGATCTTTACTTTCTTCTGTTGCAACAGAGTTCCTTCCCCTGCTAGCAAGGAGGCAAGAGAGACCCAGAACCTAAAAGAAACTTCTCTTTTAAGGGTTTGCATTTTGGCGTGGAGAAAGGAGCACATCCCATCTATAAACGGCCAGAAATTACATCACACAAGATGGGGTTACTATGGCTCAGGCAGGCCAGGGTATGATATTCCTGAGGATTTAGCAAGTTTCACATAGTTCCAGACACAGTTTACACAAAACATTTACGGGAGCGGGTGGCACTGTGGTCTAAACCACTGAGCCTCTTGGGCTTGCCGATCAGGTCAGCGGTTTGAATCCCCATGATGGAGTGAGCTCCCGTTGCTCTGTCCCAGTTCCTGCCAACCTAGCAGTTTCGAAAGCTTGCCAGTGCAAGTAGATAAACAGGTACTGCTGTGGCGGGAAGGTAAATGGCGTTTCCGTACGCTCTGGCATTTGTTACGGTGTCCCGTTGCACCAGAAGCGGTTTAGTCATGCTGGCCACATGACCCGGAAAGCTGTCTGTGGACAAATGCCCCAGTTCCCTCAGCCTGAAAGTGAGATGAGCTCTGCAATCCCATAGTTGCCTTTGACTGGACTTAACCGTCCAATCAGGATGCCCGTCAGACATCCCTCAATGCAGAGCATCTGGGCCAACAATGACAATTAATACAAAGGAGGTTCATAGACACAGAGGAGAGGAATCCCTTCAGGAACTTCCCCAGATTGCTATCTGCCTACTTCTTCTGAGGCAAGGGGGATTAAGGAGGCAGAGGAAATATTTAGTCTTTAGGAAAGCCAAGATGGCTTTGGGATTGCTCTCCAGTACTATTTTAGACATGTGGCTTATATACTTACGGTATGTATGTGTGTTTACCTTGTGCAATTATCAACAATTATTCTATATTTGAGACCTTAGAATTCCTATAACATCCTGAACCTAAACGTTCACTTCTCCTACGACCTTCTCATGTAAGAAGCTTACACTGAAAGTAGCGTGCTACAGTAGAGCAATTTTTTTTTTCTAAAAAGGAAAGGGAGCATGCAAGGATAGGTTAATGTTTCCAGAACTTAGCAGCAACTTGGCAATGACTCGCAGCAAGTCGTTTTCTGTGGCAGCACAACTTTGGAACACCTTCCCTGCAAAACTTGACATTTTCATAGTTTTTAGTAGGTGGAAATGTTATTTTAGAAGGGTTTCGGGGTGCTGACTGAGACCAGTTACAGGTTACTTGTATTTCAGCTGATTCAATGGGATTACTGCCATTGTATTTTTGTACTTTCACTGTCAAGAGTGCAAAAATCTCTTGAGTATCTCTGTAATACCAGATCTGTTTATACAAATGTAGGTTGCTTCTGTTTATTTCCACTGCAGGAAGATTTTACATTAAAGCAAAAGACCTCAAACTGTAATGTAGTTACTTAATAAAATATTTAATTAAGTATTCTTTATATAAGCATGAATCCTTAAATACAAAACTACAAACAGGATAAATTAAATTTATATCTTTCTTATTTTTAAAGAATATACATACTCCAAAATTTGCAGCAGGCACATTGTATACAGACAAAATAACAACTGGGCAAGAAATGGATCTTCAAGGAAATCCACTGATCACTGTACCTCAGTATTTGAATTTTAGCAGACTGCTAAGTAAACTCATCAAAGGGATGTTTGCCACCAAAATTACTAGAATCTGGAAGCCTACCAAGTTATGCTCTTTACTCTTCGTGTATGCTTTCAAAAACTGGAAGGAAAACCAATTTATCTAAATATTTTTTTCCACATATTAAGCAAAACATTTTAACACAATCACCTTTCACAATAGGGTAAAAGGGTCAACACAATACTGTTTATCAATATATGCCACTTTTCAAACCCTTCATTTCAGACACACCATTCTAATGCTAATAAAATGTCATAGGAAGATGGACCACAAACTCCTGGGTAATATCCTCAGAGGTATTACAAAGAGGTACAAAACATGGTGTCTCAGTCACAGGAACTTTCATTAAGATGCATCAAAATCAGATTGATACATTCTCCTTTCCAACATTATCATACACATGACACTCGTTTTAAGCAAAACTGACTTCTGTTTTAAGGCTGCAATCCTATGCACACATACACGGAAGTAAATCCTATTGAAATTAGCGAGAATTACTTCCAAGCAAACATGGAAGGCTGCATTAATAAGAAGCACCTTTTTGCCTGTTACGAGGAGTACACGTATCATTCCATCATCTCTTTTAATTTCTTCACAGGGCATATGCAATTAGAGCAGACACTGCATGGGCACGTGAAGTCAGACAACACGAAACCTTCAAGTGTTGCTCACATTTATTCCTTGTTAATGCTGCCTACACATGGTATCAGCTTTCACTTTGTGATTAGTGGTTGATACTGAATTATGCTAAATAATGTAAAAGAGCCACGTTGGGATGAGATGTGTGGGGATGAGATGTGCGTGCGACAAAATTAGCCCCCGTTTCTAGGCTGATTTTGTGGCTAAGGGAAGCAACTCTCCCTTAAGAAAGAGATTCAGAAGGTTATACAGAAATGGCTTGCTACATACAGTGTGGAAGTTCTACGTTTCTTGCAAATAGCAGCTGAATTATAATGGTTGCAAGGGTGAGGGATGTTCACAAGGCGAGAAGTGAAAGCCACATCCCACATGATATTAACAACCTTTTAAAAGTTAGCTCATAGGGATACCTATCATATCATATCTTAAATGGACAGCTGTTGCTGAACGTAGCACCGAGGCACAACAGTGCAGTGTTAGCTATAGCTCTGGCTGCATTTCTCCTCTCCATCAGATAATTAGAGGGAAACAGTTTCTATATCTCATAAAACATACCCTGCCGACAGCTTATCTCATGTAACATAGCTATTACATGGCAATTATATTTAACAATGACTTCCAGTGCAATCCTATACATGTCTACTCAGAAGTAAGCCCTCTAGAGTTCAACGGGACTTGCTGGTAAGCGTCTATAGAACTGCAACCTTCGGCACCGGCTGCTTCTTTTGATGAATTTCCCTCCTTTCTCAGGAACCTCACCCCACCGAGTTTGCACAAGGGAAGACAATGAATCAAAGTAGCATAAACAAAGTGTTATTTCCCCCCCTAACATTCATAAAGAAACGATTCTGCTGTGAGAAGATTCAGAGCGCACCACCCATTTGCCAGTATTAATTAGTTCTATCCTTTTGTAAGTACTTCTAAGTAGGCCAGTATCTCAAATCCAGATGACCAGACGACAACCGATGCCTCGACGGGAACAAGATTCTGAGACAACTGAGAAATCAAGCTCTCCAACATATACCCTTGTCTTGGCATAACAACATCGCTTTTTTTCAAACACATTACTGGGCACAGGTCATTCCCACCGTCGCCTATATATATAATTTGTGAGTATTTCACCTTGGGCTTTAAATGTTCTAAGAATTCTTCCAAGACTTTTCTCTTGCAGAGGTTAATAGGACACTTTGCACAATCATGAGCGTGACAATTCTGCACAGTGAGAGAGCCACAGTCGTTGAAACTTGCGGGATTTGTAAACACTTCATCAAATACTTGAGATACATCAGCAGCTTTTAAAATCCAATCAATAAATATTGCATTGGAATCCGATATAATTATGCAGTCAAAAAAGTCTTTGTGCTTGCCAATAAAATCTATCAGCTCTTTCATTCCTGTAGTAAAAGGGATTGCTGTCATAGTTCTTTTCATCTCATCTTCTCTTATGCCAATGTCCCCCAGGTATCGGAAGACTCTGCCCATATATTCTGTCCAGTATCCTTTTCGATAGGAATTTTTAATTTCATCAGGAAGCTTGGAAGCTGGTGCACATTTCACAATCCAAGTATCACTGTTTTCATCTACAACTGTATGGTCAAAATCAAAAACCAGAAGAACCTTCATTGTTGTTGGATAAATGTAAACCTGGAAATGAGAAAGAATTATTTGCTTAAGTATGCTATTACTGTATTATATTACAGTCTGACCATGATCTTAGAAATGGAATTATGCCAGAAAAAAATATTGTCTCTCATTCAGAAATCAGGTTGTGTGTGGCAGTATTCAAGTGTGCTTTTGAAAGTACTGTATTACAATCTACAGTATCCTATGATATGAAACCCATTTGGAATATGCAATTATTTACCATACCCTATAGCAGGTGTGGGAAATTTTTGACCCTTCAGCTGATGTTGGATTCCAGTTCCTTTCAGCCCCAGCCAGGAAGACCAATGGTCAGGGATGACAGGAATTGTTGTCTGGCAAATCTCGAGGTCATAGGTTCCTCATTCTTGCCTTATAGGTTTCAGATAAAAGTCTGATAGCAAGCTATAGTTTGGTGCAGTTGAATGAAACAGCAAACTGCAGTTTATTACAAATCAGATTCTCAGGTTTTAAGCTCCTCCCCTCTTGTGTGCAGATTGTTCTCATAACAATAAAGCACAGTTTGTTATGCTTCAACCAGGTCAGTCTAGACCTGAAGTGGACACAAACAAATATGCACACATGTATGTTGCAATGCCAGGTGTACATCACAAAAGGTAGATACAGTGGTACCTCGGGTTAAGTACTTAATTCGTTCCAGAGGTCCGTTTTTAACCTGAAACTGTTCTTAACCTGAAGCACCACTTTAGCTAATGGGGACCTCCTGCTGCCGCTGCACCTCCAGAGCACGATTTCTGTTCTCATCCTGAAGCAAAGTTCTTAACTCGAGGTACTATTTCTGGGTTAGCGGAGTCTGTAACCTGAAGCGTATGTAACCTGAGGTACCACTGTAATCTAATAGTGGAACACCACAATGGTACTCACTAGCCGACACTGATGTTTGAAATCTGAATTCATTGGAGGGTGTCAGACAAAAAGCAGTTTTCCCCAATATGAATGCAGATCCCTTTGTAATATCTGCCCATAAAGAGAGACAAGACTACTTACATTATCATCCTAGTCTATCTATAAGGAGCTCAAGGTGATATATACTCTTCTCCCTCCTATTTTATCCTCACAATAACCTTGGGAGATAGAGCAGGCTTAGAGATAATGGCTATAGCGAGCAAGTGAGGTTCAGGGGAGATTGAGGATTTGAACCCAGGACTCACCAGTACAAGTCCAACACAAAGAACGTGATCCCAACTTCTTTTTTCTATTTAGACAAAATAACATGATGTAATGACAAAATTACACAAATTGTATATCTAAGTGTCAGAAGACCCTAGTAGTGGATTAGAGGGGCTGCTTTTAGACGGGATTATGACATCAAATGCCAGGAGCTGGAAGAAGTGCACCTTCCATATCAACATGTCATTAATTATATTGTACTTAATTGGAAGCCACTTTGGGGGTCAATTTTGGCTTAAAAGCAGGGTATGAATATAAACACGCACATAAATATTGTGCCAGCTATTGACTTAATACCTAAACACAAAGCAGAACTTTGGCAATGCTTCCATTTTCATTGAAAGAGTATCGGGCTGCAATTCTAAGCACATTGTCAGTACTAGTTATCTTTGAATCTTTGAGCCAACTTGCTTAGAATCTTGCTCTTCATCCCAGCAGAACCATTACGAAGCACTGCTTGGTTGAACATGAATAATTTGGAGACAGTGCGAGACAAGAACAGATCAAGAAAATAAATATGCATTCACACAATTGCATAAAGTAAGATGATCCACGCTAGACTCTGAACCGCTTTTGCGTTCTTTAGACACAGGTAGAGGGGTTTTTGTGACAGTGCTCACCTATATGGAGTCAGTCACTTCCTTTTTTGCAATCATTGTGTGCTCAGATGCGCAGCACTTTTATAAAGAGATGAGTAGCGGCACCTCATATATATATATAAAGCCAAAGAAAAGTACTGGACACAGGCAACAAACAGGGAAGCGACTTAACCTTACTTCCCATTCCCTGTTTATCAACATAAACTGCATGTAAACATCCTCAGCCCCCCAAACTCCTTGCAATCTCTGCAGCAAATGACACTTGCATTTAGGGATAAACATTTTGCTGTGAGGGCAAGCAGTTGACTGGCCTCTGGCATGTACAGTACAGTTCTTCATTCCGCTGGCAGCCCTGCTCTTCCTAAGCAGCGGACAGTTTGGGTCAGTGCTCAACATTAGAACACTATTTACCTTGTCCTGAGGGAAGGAAGAAACAACAGGAGACAGAAACAGTCTGGTAACCTGCTCCACTATTCAGCTCCCTCCCAGCAGTTCCCAAGCAAGCTGCCGCCTGGAGCTTTCCATCGCTGCCGCCACAGATCTAGTTAGGAAGAGAGGAAAGAAGAGCCAAGGAAATTCAGGTGAGAGCATACACGTGTATATTTAAGCCTATGAAGGCAGTTACTGCTTTCTCAGCTCCCCACCAGCTGAGTCGTATTCATAATATTTGCAACATACATTGACTTGCACGCTTTTTGATTATTATTTTTTTAAGGGAAGGCGCAATTCAGTAAGGCTGTGGACAAAGTCCCGCGTGTTATTCTTGCAAAGAAGCTGGTAAAGTATGAGCAAGGCGAGGAAACTGTTAGGTGGATTTGTAGCTGGTTGCCTGATGGGATCCGAGAGAGTGCTCACTAATGGTTCCTCATCATCCTGGGAAAAGGTGACAAGTGGGGTGCTGCAGGGTTCTCTCCTGGGCCTGTTGTTATTCAACACCTTTATAAACAACTTTGATGAAGGTATTGAGGGGATGCTCATAAAATTTTGCAGCAGACACCAAACTGGGAGTGGTAGCCAATGCCGCTGAAGGCAGAATTGGGATTCAAAAGGCCCTTAACAGATTGGAGAACTGGGCCAAAACTAACAAAATGAATTTCAATAGGTTCTGAGCTTAGGCAGGAATAATCCACTGCACAAATATAAGATGGAGGACACCTGGCTTGCCAGTTGTGCATGTGAAAAGGATCTAGGGGTCTTAGCAGACCACAAGGTGAACGCGAGTCAACAGTGTGATGCAGCAGCAAAAAAAGCTAATGCTATTCTAGGCTGCATCCGCCGAAGTATAGTGCTCCAATCAAGGAAAGTCATAGTCCTGCTCTATTCTGCCTTGGTCAGACCACACCTGGAATACTGTGTCCAGTTCTGGGCAACCACAATTTAAGAAGGATGTTGACAAGCTGGAACGTGTGCAGAGGATGGCAACTGAGGCAATCGAGGGTCTGGAAACCAAGCCTTGTGAGGAACGGTTGAGGGAGCTGGGAATGTGCAAGTTGGATAAGAAGAGAGGAGATATGGGACAGCCAGCTCCAACTATCTCAAGGGCTGTCACATGGAAGAGGGAAGGAGATGGTTTTCTCCCACTCCAGTACCAATGGCTTCAAATTACAAAGAAAGGAGAACTGCCGATCTAGGGTAAGGGTAAAGGTAAAAGTAAAGGTAAAGGAACCCCTGACCATTAGGTCCAGTCGTGACCAACTCTGGGGTTGCGTTGCTCATCTCACTTTACTGGCTGAGGGAGCCGGCGTACAGCTTCCGGGTCATGTGGTCAGCATGACTAGGCCGCTTCTGGTGAATCAGAGCAGCACACGGAAACGCCGTCTGTCTTCCCGCCGGAGCGGTACTTATTTACTTGCACTTTGATGTGCTTTCGAACTGCTAGGTTGGCAGGAGCAGGGACCGAGCAACGGGAGCTCACCCCGTCACAGGGATTCGAACCGCCAACCTTCTGAAAGGCAAGTCCTAGGCTCTGTGGTTTAACCCACAGCGCCACCCATGTCCCTTCGCCGGTATAGGGTGATATGCAAATTTAATAAGTAAGTACAGTGGTGCCTCGCAAGACGAAATTAATTCGTTCCGCAAGTTTATTCTTCTTGCGAGTTTTTCGTCTTGCGAAGCACGGTTTCCCATAGGAATGCATTGAAAATCAATTAATGCGTTCCTAGGGAAACCGCTTGCCAGGCTGGCGGTGCGGAGAAGGGCTTTTCTCCCCACCGCAAGCCTTCAGGACAGGTACGGGAACAGAGGGGAAGGTGCACAGCGCTTTCCCTCTGTTCCCGGGGCTTGCGTGGGAGGAGGGTTTTTCCTCCCCACCGCCAACATTCAGAACAGCATTCTGAATGTTGGCGGTGGGAAGGAAAACCCTCCTCCCACCCCAAGTCTTCAGGAAAGCCATCCGAAGCCGGGCGGCGGGAGAAGGTGTCCCCGCCCCCCCGCCCGGCATCGGAGCTTCGTTCCGATGGCGGGCGGCGGGAGAAGGTGTCCCCGCCCCCCCGCCCGGCATCGGAGCTTCGTTCCGATGGCGGGCGGCGGGAGAAGGTGTCCCCGCCCCCCCGCCCGGCATCGGAGCTTCGTTCCGATGGCGGGCGGCGGGAGAACGCGTCCCCCCCCCCGCCCGGCATCGGAGCTTCGTTCTGATGGCGGGCGGCGGGAGAACGCGTTCCCGCCCCCCCGCCCGGCATCGGAGCTTCGTTCTGATGGCGGGCGGCGGGAGAACGCGTTCCCGCCCCCCCCCGCCCGGCATCGGAGCTTCGTTCCGATGGCGGGCGGCGGGAGGAGGTGTCCCCGCCCCCCCGCCCGGCATCGGAGCTTCGTTCCGATGGCGGGCGGCGGGAGAACGCGTTCCCGCCCCCCCGCCCGGCATCGGAGCTTCGTTCTGATGGCGGGTGGCGGGAGAACGCGTTCCCGCCCCCCCCCCGCCCGGCATCGGAGCTTCGTTCCGATGGCGGGCGGCGGGAGGAGGTGTCCCCGCCCCCCCGCCCGGCATCGGAGCTTCATTCCGATGGCGGGCGGCGGGAGAACGCGTTCCCGCCCCCCCGCCCGGCATCGGAGCTTCGTTCTGATGGCGGGCGGCGGGAGAACGCGTTCCCGCCCCCCCGCCCGGCATCGGAGCTTCGTTCCGATGGCGGGCGGCGGGAGGAGGTCCGAGGACAGTGGGGAAGACACGCTGCGCTTCCCCGCTGTCCCGGAGATTTCCCTATGGGCTTTCGTCTTGCGAAGCAAGCCCATAGGGAAAATCGTCTTGCGAAGCAACTCGCAAACGGAAAACCCTTTCGTCTAGCGGGTTTTCCGTCTTGCGAGGCGTTCGTCTTGCGGGGTACCACTGTAAGTAAATAAAAATAAAAAACATTAGGACATCAAGAAGAACTTTCTGACAGCAAGAGCTGTTCCGACAGTGGAACAGACTCTCCTTCCTTGGAGATTTTTAAAAAGCAGACGTTGGGTGCTTGGCTGGAGCAGTGGGGTTGGGCTGGATGACCCTCGGGGTCCCTTCCACCTCTCTATAATAATTGGGCAGACCAGTGCCGAGCGCCTTCATCGCATAATAATAATAATAATAATTTATTATTTATACTCTGCCCATCTGGCTGGGTTTCCCCAGCCACTCTGGGCGGCTTCCAAAAAAAACACTAAAAATACAATAACCTATTAAACATGAAAAGTTTCCCTAAACAGGGCTGCCTTCAGATGTCTTCGAAAAGTTTGGTAGTTATTTTTCTCTTTGACATCTGGTGGGAGGGCATTCCACAGGGCGAGTGCCACTACCGAGAAGGCCCTCTGCCTGGTTCCCTGTAACTTGGCTTTTCGCAGTGATGAGGGAACTGCCAGAAGGCACTCGGCACTGGACCTCAGTGTCCAGGCTGGATGATGGGGGTGGAGATGCTCCTTCAGATATACTGGACCCAGTGGCGTAGCGTGGGGGGTGCAGGGGGGGGCCCGGCCGCACCGGGCGCAACATCTGGGGGTTAGGGTTAGGGGCGCAAATCCACGGGTTAGGGGGTGCAAATTACTTGCCTTGCCCCGGGTGCTGACAACCCACGCTACGCCACTGACTGGACCGAGGCCATTTAGGGTTTTAAAGGTCAGCACCAACACTTTGAATTGTGCTCGGAAACGTACTGGGAGCCAGTGTAGGTCTTTCAGGACCGGTGTTATATGTTCTCGGTGGCCGCTCCCAGTCTCCAGTCTAGCTGCCCCATTCTGGATTAGTTGTAGTTTCCGGGTCACCTTCAAAGGTAGCTCCACGTAGAGTGCATGGCAGTAGTCCAAGCGAGAGATAACTAGACTACTAGAGCATGCACCACTCTGCAGGCAGATAGGGTCTCAGCCTGAGTACCAGATGGAGCTGATAAACAGCTGCCCTGGACACAGGAGTCCCACATCATCCGAGTCCCACAGACGGCAAATATGGGGGAAAGCCTGCGGGGGAGACCCTGTCCCCGTCCCTTTTTCCCCACCCCGCCACCCCACATCCACCCAACCCGGGTCGTCTCCCTCCGGCTTGGGGCCGCCTGCGGGCCGGAGCCCGGAGGAAGCGCGGAGGACAAGGCAGAGGGACCGGCTGAGCTGCGGGAGGGGGCGCCGCGCACGCGCAGGAGGACGGGGGGGGTAAACAGCCGCAACAGCGAAACAACAACGACAACAAGAACCGCTGCCGCCACTGCTTCAGCAGCAGCTGGAATCGCCCGGCCGCACTGACCTGCAACGTCTCCTTCGAAGCCGGGTCACGTGAGCGGCGCGCGGACAACTCTCGCGCCGCCGCCGCCTCAGAACGTCGCGTCACTTCCCTCCCGTCCGCACGTCCCGCCGTTGCCTGGCAACCGCCGCACGCGCGCTAAGGCCCCGAGTCGCGTCGCCTCACGCCATGAAGGCCGCCGCCGCCGCCCCGCCAGGCCGTGCTCGTCAAGAAGCGCCGAGGGCAGGAGCGCCCAGCCACGCGTGCGTGTGAGGGGAAGGAGGCGCTGCTTGGGTGCCCGAGGAGGAGGGCGGCGGCGGTGGTCCCCGTTGATGCGCCTGGCCCCCCGCTGCCAGTTTGAGCCTCCTCATGAGGCTCGGCGCCTTCGCCCTGGCAAAATGCGGGGCGGTTGGGGGGCGAGTTTTCTCCGTCGTATTTCTGTCCTCTCTCTTCCTGCTGGGTTGTTGTTGGTCAGTCAAAAGAGATTCGGTGAAATCAGAAAAGATGGGTTTTGTCAGCAAGAGGTGGCTGCGACACGGCATACGTGGAGCTTTGTACAGTGCAGTGTTGAAAACAAAATTTAATTGAATTATTATTATTATTATTATTATTATTATTATTATTATTAATTTTGTGTTTTTGTCTTGGTATTTTTATCATAGCTGTCAACTTTCGGATCTGAAAATAAGGGATCAGCAGCCTCACCTGTTATTTATTCATTATTATGAAATAATTATGAAATAATAAATAACTTTGATCAAGCTAGAAAAACAAAATACATATATACCTAGGTATTACCGAAATGTATACCTACTGTTTCACTAAAGGACTTTCGACTTTGTGAGCTCATTTACCAAAGACTCGCCATGCCAGCAGCGGCGCTTGTCAGACTCAACGATGGCACTTGTCATTCTCAATGGTGCTGTGCACGCAAAATTAAATTTGGGGGCACTGGGCGGATCACTGCACCCTGGCGGCGCATATGCTAAAGGCCATGGCTGTCAACTTTCAGATTTGAAAATAAGGGATCAGCAGCCTTGAAAATAAGGGATCAGCAGCCTCACCTGTCCTGGGGACAGTCTACGGGATATCTAACAATCCGGGATAGCAGCGGGAAGCAGCGGGAAACGGCGCTGAAATAAGGGAATTTCCCGCAAAAAAAGGGAAGGTTGGCAGCTATGATTTTTATGCTGTGAACTGCCCTGAAGATGGCGATTTCAGCTTTGCTGTTTGAATTTAAAAGCTGTAGTTAGCAGGAAAATGACACGTGTCATTTGGGTGCTGCCACTAACCCAGGTGGGGCCTTCCCTATCCTCAGAGGAACTGTGGCTTATATTCTAAGCATTTCATTTTTGCCCCGCTTCCCCGCTATCAGCATTTTCATTTATGTGGCCTTAACTGTGATAGGTTTAAGGTGGGATGTCTGGGAAAATCGTAAATAGCTTATTTCCTTAACAGTCTTCTAGCGTCTCATAACAGAATCCTAGATAGGGACCTTTTGCCACATCTGTTTTCAGGTCTTAACTTCCTTCACATAGCCAATGGCCTCTGGGAAATGTCCTCAATGTTGTGGTTATTATTCCACTATGAGGAATCATAAGTTGACTAAGGCTGAAATCTTATATTGCTGGGGTCACCGGTGTGACTCCTGTAGGCATAGTAACACCATTGGGGACTTACTTCCTTGGTGGCTGTGAAGCCTCTGAGCACCCACAAACCCCATCATGAGGAGGAGAGGGTAGCTATCTTTGAACCTCCTGGTGGGAAAGTAGCAGGAATGATTGAGCTGGAGAAGGGCAAATAAAAGCTACCAGAGAGGGTGGTACAAAATATACCCAATGGCCTCAATATTTTGACAAATCCTGTCCATTGTCATTTATCTGGGAATAAGTCCCCCTGAACTCTGAAGTGTTTGCATCTCAGCAGACCTATAAGACTTTAATCCTAGGAACATTTACATGGGAGCATTCTCGCTGAAACCAGAGAATGAACATGTTTTTAGGGTTGCAGTGTGAAGATGTCTCCATCATACAGCGTGCCCAGGGTTGCTATCTCAACCTGGTATGAAAGCATGATTGTTTTGCCCAGAAGGTGAAAGAGTCATAAACAGCATTTGACAGAAAACTTTTTTTCATATCTAGCAAACGAAGATGATGTTGTGGAGGGAATATTTCTTCCGGTGGGAGTAGATCTCCGCCAAATAACTATACTCCCCAAAAAAGAATGGGAGAGGATTCACGATAGCCTCACCGCCCCAGCAAGAGAAGCTGCTCGGATTCGTGCTGAAAGGAAGGAGCGGAAAGATCTGCACTTAAAGTCTCAAGCACTTGTGAAAAACTGGCATAACACTATTGCGGTAAGTGACACACATACATTTCAATGCCTGTGGAATGTTTATGACAGTCCTGGTTGTATTTCTATCCTTTTTCTTACTACTGGGTTGGTTAGTCAAAAGCGTTTCAGTAAAATCAGAATATATGTGTTTATCAGCAATAGATTACTGCAACGTGATATACATGGGGCTGCCTCTGAAGATGGTTCAGAAATTTCAGCTGGTGCAGAATTTGGCAGCCAGGTTGCTCACCAGGGGAAGATGGCTTGAGTATATAACAACAATCCTGGCCTGACTGTACTGGCTGCCAATCAGTTTCCTGGCCCTATTCAAATTGCTGTAAAGCCTTAAATGGTTTAGGACCACAATGCCTGAAGGGGCACCTCTCTCCATATGAACCTACCTGGACCATGAGATCATCTTCTGGTGCCCTTCTTCATATGCCTTCTCCATGAGAGGTCTGCAGGGTGGCAACACAAGAATGTTCCTTTTCTGCAGTGGTTCCCTGTTGGTGGAAATCTCTCCCCAGGGTGGTTTGCCTTGCACCTTCATCATTTATCTTTAGGTGCCAGCCAAAAATGTTTCTTTATAACCAGGCCTTTGACTGATTAAATATTCTATGGCCTTTTAAATATGTTAGTTGCAGGGGGGGTGTTGTTGGTTTGATTTTGTTTTTTATTTAGGTATATTGTGTTCTCATTTTGTATTTTTATGTTGTAAACCTCCCTGTGAACTTCAGATGATTTAATAAATAATAATGATGATAGTGATAATTTTATAGTGTGACCTGGGAAGTCCTGGGTTCAGAACTTGCTTCAACCATGAATTTTTCAGGTCAACTCATATTGCAATAGATAAAAAAATAACACATTTACTATGCAGACTGTTGAGCACTATTTACATGTATAGGCCCCACTCCTCAACCAGGAAAGCTCCCAGGGGATCTTACAAATTGAGAAAAATAACACAGCCCCTGCCCTCAGGTTTACAGACTAAAGAAAAAAAGACAAAATAGGAAAATGGGATATGGCAGGGGTCAAAGCAAAGACACTCAGGCACCACAATCTTAAAGGTACAAGGTTTTATAAAGCAACAGATTGGATGGAAATGGGCTGATCATTGTTTGTTTGTTGGTTGGTTGGTGGCTCCTGAGAAATAGCCTGGCAACCCAACCTACCTGGAAGTGACTGCAATGCAGCCAGAAGTTGTTGACCTTACTGGGTGGGGCCTTCATCTCCTGGGGCCTAAATGAAATCTGCCAACACTTTGTGGCATCATAGCAGGTAGGCTCATGGCTCATAGACGCCCAATACCGTCATCCTCAGATCAGATGGTCCTGCTCCTTCTCACAGGACAAGCCTCTGTGAAGGTGAGGGGAGGAGTCAGCGCATCTGGCGAAAACAGCAGTAGCTGGTGATGGCAGATCCTTGCTCTCTGCTGCTCATTCTGCTGAGTATTAGTGTTATTGATGCTAGTTTAAACAACAACATTCTGATCCTCAACATTGACATTGTATCTGCAACATTGGGTGCCTTGCATGGTGTCATAATGTGCAGCATGTGTGTGCCAGAGCAGTGGGTTATATATAAAAAAAAGTTCATAGATAGTAGTTTATAAATGAACAAATGCCTGTTTACTACTCTAGACCAAATGTCTTAGTTGAGTACTTTATTACAATGCATCATGCAAGGAAGTTGGGTGCATAGGGTTATGGGGAGGGGTAGTACCTCTGGTGGGGTACGTGTCATACTCCTTCTGGGGTAGTTTATCCACCTTTGGTCCCCACCCTGCCCTCAGCTCTCACCTGTGACAGCAGCTACTCCCTGGGAGCGGCTTCAGCTGGCCGGATAAACCAGGTGTGGGTAGCCGGTGGGTCTCAAACCCTAGGTGAGTTAGGGTTTGCAAAGACAGGCTCTGGCGGATTGAATGGATGAGACTAACAGTGGGTCCAATGGTGAAGAAGGCAGTTTCTATATGTGCTATAGAGGGACGTGAGGACAGATGGGGCTTGTTAACCTGGGAAGGTGGCCCATCTAGGAGAAGGAAAAAACTGATCCTAAACCTCTACTGCCTTTGTGGGATATCTTCAGGAGAAGAAAAGGAGAAGAAGTAAATCCTGCAAAAAGATGGAGTGGAGTTCCTAAGATGGTTGGCGCCTTGTATGATTCTTTTTGGCAACTCCTGCAGCCAAGCTGGTGCCAAACATATCACTCTGCTTTTCTTTGGACCAAATCAGCTAGGCTGAAAGGGGGATGGGATGGATCTTGTCAGGGCAGCACAGGACCTCTATACACACTGCCCAGGCTTGTGCCCCGATGAGGTCACTTTGGTGCTGCTAACACATTGGTTTGACTTTATCTCCAGAGGTGTACTCCATTTTTTCTCGAGACAGACAGATTGCAACAATATTGAATGAATGAATGAATGAATGAATGAATGAGTAAAATATTGCATTGCAGGGTATGGCACAAGCAAAACTGAAAGCCAAGAAAGAGCGTCAGGAGAGGGATGAGGAAGAAAAAAGAAAGGTTGACCTGGAAGAAGCAAAGTATGAAGCACAGAAGCGAAAAGAGGCGGTGGCAGAATCCAAACTCTATCAGTACTACCAAAATGAGAGAGTGAAAGACTTCCATGTAACATTTATTATTATTATTTCACTTTAATGTGGGGGATATGTTCAACATAGAAGCTGTATTAAATGAGGGAAATAGGCACAATCAAAATGGCTGTTAATAAGCTTTGCTTGGGATCAGAAGAAGCCGAGAGTAGCTGGGAAAACATTGTCTAATTATACAATAAGCAATGGGGGGACTAGCATTCCCATCAGGAAAAAACTGCTATCAGGTAGCCTTCTTAACAAATTTGAAAAACTGGTTTCATTGACACAGATCATTAATATTGGAAGAGGGTAATAGCTCTGTGTGAGGCTATGAGAACCAGCTTATGCTTTTCTTTGCAAAGCAGGCCAGTCACATCCCAAACTGTCCAGGAATGGCTGCCACCCCCCACCTCATCTTAATGTGTATAGGCCCCTGACAGGAGCAGATTCCGAGGCTATTGAAGAAACACTGGTACAGGGACTCTGAGATAGCATCCTGTTTACTTGACCTTCCCCAGTTGAAAGAAACTTGCTTTCCTCCGTCAACTTGTTTGATGAAGGAAGCAGAGCCAGCACCCAGCTCTCTGCCTCTACCCAGAGATCAGAGCAACCTGCTTTCCCATGTCGGCTCCAATCCCTATACCTTTGTGGAATGAACCAAGTGACTTAGGCTCATGGGTCCCCCCCTAACCTTGTGGGTTGGCAAACGTCTCTAATTATATAACATTTAAACTTATATCTCAATGGTACTTTTCACTAGTAAGATTGAACCATATATCTAGGACAACAAGCAATATACAGTATGCTGGCTATGTAAAGCAACAAATGCAGATATGTGTCATATTTTTTGGACTTGTCCCAAAACAAAGATTCTTTGGATTGAAATATGTAAAAGAAATTGATGTTATAGCAGGGTATACATTTCTAATGAACTCACATACCCAATATTGTTTGGGTATGTGAAAGATCGCGTTTTAACAGACAACAGAGAAATGGTTATAAATTTATTGACTGTTGTTTGTATAATTATTAGCTCCTAAGTGGAAAGAAGAAAAAACTCTAATCAAAATATGGGAGGTTGTAAATACCTTGTAAATATGATAAAATCGACAAACATGGTCAGAATTAGAAAAGGAAGACAACCTCATGATCATTTTATAGAGTAATTGAATTTGTTTATAATATATTGGAATAACAAAGCACAAGACAATATAAACCCACACATGTTATTAAGTGTCATGTAACTTAAGTTTCAGAGTACTCTCTCTTAACACATTAGAAATTATCAGCTACTGTTGTTAAGGGGAAACATCATTTGTATAATACTTACATCACTGGTGCATCGTTTATTGCTTTAAAATATTGTTTGTTGTTTAAATAAAACAATAAAAAGAATCCCTATCAAACATTGCAATTTTATTTTGCAGAGAGCCCTCTTACTTACCGAATGCTTAAAAGAAAGAGATGCTCAGATTGAATTTAAAAAGGTAAAAGAAAACCTGTACCGCTGCAGAGATGAAGAAGTAGAACGTGAACGTCAAAAAGCCGTACGAAAAGAGGAGGAAAAGATTAGAGAGAACCGTAGGAAGAGAGTGCAACTCAGCAAGGATCAACTGGAACAGTAAATATAATTAGCAGAGCTCTTTTTTCAAGCCCACAGAATAAAATAAATGTGTCATTTGTGGTGTAAGCACATTTGCCCCATAAAGCAACAGCATAGAAACTGATCTGTTTTAACATTTGCTGGGTGATGGGGCAGGAAACCCCACTTGTTCACTGTTATTCTTCCAATAGTGTTTGGGGAAGGGCCGTAGCATATGTTTTGCGTGCAGAAGCTCCCAGATTCAATTCATGGCATCTCAGACAACCCTGCCTGAAATCCTGGAGAGAGCTGCTGCCACCACTCCACGTAGAGCAGGGTTCCCCAAACTTGGGTCCCCAGCAGTTTTTGGACTACGATTCCCATCATCCCTGACCACTGGTCTTGCTAGCTAGGGATGATGGGAGTTGTAGTCCCCCAAAACAGCTGGAGACCCAAGTTTGGGAAACCCTGGTGTAGACAGTCCTAAGTTAGATGGACCAATGGTCTGACTCAGTATAAAAGAGCTTCCTATGTTCCTAAAGAAAGAATGCTCTTGTCCCAGCGGTGCTTGATTTTGACAATTAGTACTGCATTAGTGCCTAGGCAAGTAAATATGAAAGAGAGATGGTGATTTAAGAAACCAAAACATACCATATTGGCCCACGTTCTGAATTAGCAGCTGTAACTCCTTACTCCCTCTCACTGCTGGAAGGAAGTTGTACTCCAAGTACCATTTGCCCTGGGACTCCGTAAGTGAGGGGAAGGCCTCTGTTGCTAGTCAACAGAATAAGGACCTTCACAGGGATGCTGCATCTCTTCTCTTTTAGGAAGAATACAAGTGACGAGTTGAAGGCCAGCCTGGCCTCAACCATTGGCCAGACAGTGATGATGGTGATGGTGATGATGATGATGATGATGATTTATACCCCCCCATCCAGCTGGGTTTCCCCAGCCACTCTGGGTGGCTCCCAACAGATTAAAAACATAATAAAACATCAAATATTAAAAACCTCCCTAAACAGCGCTACCTTCGGATATCTTCTAAAAGTCAGATAGTTGTTTATTTCCTTGACATCTGATAGGAGGGCGTTCCACGGGGTGGGCGCCACCACCGAGAAGGCCCTCTGCCTGGTTCCTTCCTCCCCCCACTCCTTAAATTAAAGAACACTCAGCTCCAACTGTCAGTTGATCTGAGAGTTCAGAATTAAACAGCTAAGGACCGCAATACCTCAAGGACCGCCTCTTTCCATATGAACCGGTCCCTGAGATCATCTTCTGAGGCCCTCCTTCATGTGCCTCCTCGAGAGGTCTGGAGGGTGGCAACACGAGAACAGGCCTTCTCTGCAGTGGCTCCCCATCTGTGGAATGCTCTCCCCAGGGAAGTTTGCCTGGAACCTTCATTATATACCTTTAGGTGCCAGGCAAAAAGGTCCCTTTTTGATCAAATTTGCATCCTATGCCCTTTTAAAATGTTTTTGTTGTTGTTGTTGTGGTGAGGGGGGCTATTGGGTTATTGTTTTTATTTTCATTAGGTATCTTGTGGTTTTATATCTTGATTTTATTCTGTGAACCGCCCTGAGACCCCCGGGGATATAAATTCAATAAATAATAATTGAGGGAAGGCTACCCTAGCCTCTGCTTATCAGCCAGAGGAGCAAGGGCACCGGTAGGATTTTTAATTTTGCAAACTGTTTTAATGTTTTAAAAATCGTATTGGAGATAATTTGATTGAAAAGTGGGGGTACACCTTTCGAGAGAGAGAAAAAAGAAGTCCTGCGAATAGCCGCAATCCACCTGTACCGTTCTTCTTGAGCATCCAGAACTTCTGCCAATTGTAGAGGAACTTTAGACATGGCTCATTGATCAATCTTTTCTATCTTTTAGGATAAAAGAGCATGAACGCCTAGCAGAACTGAGCAGGCTGGAAGACAAAAGGGAAAGGGCAGAGATTCAGGAGCAGGTCCTGCTAAATCAACAGGAAGTGCTGCAGAAAGAGCAAGAGGAGCGTGAAGACAAAATCAGGCGTAGAAAGGAGCACCAGGTATGAGATGGGAGTTAGTAGCCAAATGGATCTGAAAAAACGCATTTCAGTTTCCACTGGACTTTGACTAGGTGCTTACTTCGACAAATTACCAGTCAAATTACTCACAGGCCTGCTTATGACAAATGGAGGGGAAGTTGGTTTCTGGTGCTTAGGCCAAGAGCTTGTGTCATATTTTCAGATATGACTTTGTAGGGGAGCCTTTAGTTCAAAGGTCAGGAGAGAGAGGCTGCTTCCATGCACAATTTTGTTTGGATAGGTGATTGTTAAAAGGTAAAGGTACCCCTGCCCGTACGGGCCAGTCTTGACAGACTCTAGGGTTGTGCGCCCATCGCACTCTATAGGCCGGGGGCCAGCGCTGTCCGAAGACACTTCCGGGTCACGTGGCCAGCGTGACAAGCTGCATCTGGCGAGCCAGCGCAGCACACGGAACGCCGTTAACCTTCCCGCTAGTAAGCGGTCCCTATTTATCTACTTGCACCAGGGGTGCTTTCGAGCTGCTAGGTTGGCAGGCGCTGGGACCGAACAGCGGGAGCACACCCCGCCGCGGGGATTCGAACCGCCGACCTTTCGATCGGCAAGCCCTAGGCGCTGAGGCTTTTACCCACAGCGCCACCCGCGTCCCCTAGGTGATTGTTAGGGATGTGCTAATTCAGCAGCTGTGAGGCTCACACAGATTATGGTGCTCTCTACTATTCCCAATGGCAGATTGGATATTGGCAATACAGTCATACCTTGGAAGTCGAATGGGATCCGTTCTGGAAGTCCATTCAACGTTCAGAAACCAAAGCGTGGCTTCCGATTGGCTGCTCTTGCAGCCATTCAAAAGCTGCAGAAGCCCTGTTGGATGTTCAGCTTCCAAAAATAGTTCGCAAACCGGAACATTCACTTCTGGGTTTGCGGCATTCGGGAGCCAAAACGTTCAAGAACTAAACTGTTCGAAAACCAAGACATGACTGTTTTAGTGAAGGTGGTACAGTCTAACTCTGCTATAGTGTCAAACCAGCAGTTGACAAAGTTGCCTTCTGGGCAAAATCTAATGGGCATTTCCTATTCGTGTTTCATCACCTGTTGATATCTTTGTAGAACCTGCATATGAAACAATGCCAATAGTCTCCATCCTTGACAGAAATGACTTCTAGTTAGGTGCACAAAGGGCGGGGATTTTTAAGCAGTGCAAAAATGGGAGCTCAATCATATTTTTGCAGCGAGTTGTCTGTATCGGGACCAATACAAGCCACAAGGTGCACTTTTTCAAGGACAGGCTGTCAGGAGCTCCATAACAGCTACACAGCTCCAACATTGGTACCCGTGTTTACACGAGATGACATTAATATGCTGTCTTATATTTGCACTGTCACCACTGCTTCTTGCTCCTTTGATGTCGAAAACAGGAACAAATCCCTATAAATCTCCTTCTCCCAACTCTGTACTTTGCATAAATACATAACATTCTTCATGATCTTTTCTGTCCTCTTCCATAGCTCGGGCCTAGCTGGTGCAAACGCAGTGAAGCCTTATGTAAAGATTCTGCGCCACCCCTCTGTGAACCCACACTTGGAAAGAGTTAGGATTGGGCAGAAGTGTCATTCCAGCCCCAGTTTGCCCAGTGAAGGCACAGGTCATTGGAGAGCTACTGCTGGTGGTGCTCCCACTGATGATAGCTGGCCAAGCCTTTGATACAGGGTGTTTGGGGTCTTGTGTGAAGCAGGGCCGGCCAAGGATCAGCAAAAAACAAAAATCCACCTTCTACCCTGACCAGCTTCCTCCAATTATCCTCCAGCCAGTTGACTCTATACAGTGGTGCCTCGCAAGACGAAAAGAATCCGTTCCGCGATTCTCTTCGTCTAGCGGTTTTTTCGTCTTGCGAAGCAACCCCATTAGCGGCTTAGCGGCTTAGCGCTATTAGCGGTTTAGTGGCTTAGCGGCTATTAAAGGCTTAGCGGCTGAGCTGCTAAAAGGCTATTAGAGGCTTAGCGGCTTAGAAAAAGGGGGGGAAGCGGGGGGGAAATGGCAAGACTCGCAAGACATTTTCGTCTTGCGAAGCAAGCCCATAGGGAAATTCGTCTTGTGAAGCAACTCAAAAACGGAAAACCCTTTCGTCTAGCGGGTTTTCCGTCATGCGAGGCGTTCGTCTTGTGGGGCACCACTGTAGTGTGCTCTGCTCGACACTTATTTTGGTAAACAAAATACGCATTCTGAGTTTTTTCCGTGTTTTTTTTTAAAGGCACATGTTGCTGACCAGGTAACTCTCAAGGCTATCGAGAAGCAAAAAGAAGAGGAAGAGGATGATAAAGTCCGAGCACATTATAAAGCAAAGCAGGCTATGGCTAAGCTGAGAAAAGCAAAAGAAGATGAAATGCACAGGTAGGCAGAATGTGAGCGGGAAATGGAAACACATTACCCAAATAAAACAAGGCACAGTTTTCTAGCATTATGAATTATTACGGTAGAGACCCCATCTCGCACACAGAGATATTATGAAAGGAAAGTAACACTGCGGCTGTTCTTGCATCCGTGCCAGCATTTCCCCTTGCCTGACAACAATCCCCCCTCCTCCCCATCATATTCTTCTGGGGGTTCTTCTTGGTCCCAACAGAGCCAATTTCAGGGGGGTGGGGGAGTCCTTGCACTAATGAAGATTCTTGGTTGGCCTCTGCTAGCAGGACTTGTTTGTTGAATCCTGCCCTGTGGGACCAAGGACTCTCGATTCAGTTTTCCTCTGCTGCGAACTCTTTTTTTTAATTTTATTTGACTGATAACATTTGCATCCTACATTACTTCCATCACGAAACCCAAGGCAGCATACATGGAGTTGCCAAGTAATCTCCCAACCGTAAGATCACTGATTTGAGATAATGTTTTAAAACTGTTTTTTAGACTGCCGTGTCTGCTGCCCTGGATGAAAGGGCAGGATACAGATCAATCAAGCAAACAAATGTGCCCACAGACCTGCCTAGGAACCAGTATAAGAGATGAATATTATACAGAGGCACGGATGAGAAACAGGATGCAGCCAGTGGGCCAGATAGTTACCTCGGTGATGTACTGTGGGCCATTCTGACAAGTGTCAATCACCCGACATCACAAGTGACTCCAAGCAAACTAGAATTCCTTTGCAGGTGCCACTTGAACTGCAACCGCAGAGAAATATTCTTCTGTCACCAGCTTGAATTCAAGCCGGCCCGTCAAAGAGATACTTGCACTTACCGCAAACTATATTTGGGGCTTGCTGCAAGTGCAGATTCCAGCTAGCTTGCGAAGCCCACTTCAGGCAAGCAGCAACTCCATAGTACATCTGACCCCAGTGGGCACTAGTCAGCTGATTGATGCTGACTGCAAACTGACTTTGGGTAGGCACCAGCAGGTCGGGAACACTGTAGTGCAGATTTATTTATATCTTTATTTACAGGCAACTCCCGATTTGCATTCTGGGTCATCACACACAATGGCAGAGTGCACATAAGCCCTCCTCCTTTTCCAGCCACATCCGGGACGCTGCGATGTGCGTGTGCACAGTCGTGCGCCAATTGGACGCGTGTAAATCAGCTGTTGCTTGTGTTAACTTTGCTGACTTTGCGTTAACCTGGTGACTTTGCTGTCACCACCAATCAGCCGAAGATCGCTGACAGCAAGCCTCCCTCGCCGAGGAACAACTGGGAGTGTTTTAAGGCTCCTGATTGCTCCTTGGCAGCCAGCTCGCCACCTGTCTGGCACCAGGTGTCACGTATGTAGAGATACAGAGCATCAGTCCTTCCTCTGATTGGCATAGAGGAGTGTGGTTTTATCCAATTTGCTTGTTTAATCAAGGCATGCCTCAGGCCTCCCCTCACAGCACGCAGTTGATGAATCTTGGCACTTACGGCTGAACCATTGCAGGTTAATGGAGGAGCACAGAGACAACATTACTAGCCGCCTCCTGGCTCATATGAAAAAGGAGGCTGATGATGAAGATGAGCGTATCGCTAGGGACATTGCAGAGACGGACGCGCAGCTGGAGAGAGAACGCAAAGAAAAAGAAGAAAAGAACAATGCTGAACTGAAATCCATCACAGAGCACAGAATGAATGTGGTAAGAAAAATAAAATTAAGCATGCTTTTCTGTTTCACCATTTCTTATTTATCAGTTGGGATGGAATCCAGCATTGGGTCAGCAGTCTGCTTGCACCACTGGATTTCACTTTTACCTCTTCCCCCATGCACCCCATAATAGGTTTCAGAGGATCCCCCAGCCATGTAGAGCAGATTTTGAGGGTATGTGGGAGACCACAAGGGAGGGAGAGAAAGGTGAAGTTGCATTGAGAGAGCAGAAGTTCAGTTTGCGAGTAGACAGTGTTGGATGCAACCTTTAGTCTCAAAAAATAGACTTCTTTTACACAGGCCCTGTGTTCCTGAGCAGCTTTCATGAAAGCAAGTTCCGTTAAAATAGTGGGACTGGCTTACACATAAAAGTATTTAAAAATTGGATGCCCAGAATATCAAAATTGCATATATGTAACTCTTAATGTTAGTAGCAGGGTAGAGAGTCATCAGATCTTAGGCTTCACTACCACAGGATAAGAACTGGATTGTGTTGTTATAGATTAAAAGGAAAGAAGAGAAAGAAAAACAGGACAGACTAGAGGCTCAAGAAATACTTCGTGGACAAATAGAAGCAGATCGGATTTTCCAAGAACTGGAGAAAGACAAGAAACACAGAAATCATTGTGCAAACTTAAAATTACAAGACTTCCATGTCATGCAGATAGTAAGTATGGGCATTAAGTTTACAAAGTAAACTTCTTTAAAAAGGGCGAAAATGGAATATGACTTGTACTTTTCTGTCTAGTGCTTGAGAGGGCAGTCTTGAGTGAGAAAACTGCCCTCTGCACCTGCAAATGGATGAAGTCCCAAAGACAGGCTTCCTTTGTCTCCAGATGACAAATGCCTTAGAGAAAGGAACCTTGCATACTGTCAGAAATCAAAGAAAACTGGGAACATCATCACTGTAGTGTAATAGTCAGAGGCTTGAATCCTGACTATCATGAGCAGAAAACTCACAGAAGTATTCTTTCTTTCTTTCTTTCTTTTTCCGTCTCTGTCTCTTTCTGTCTCTCTCTCCCTCCTCTGCACACCAGTCCTCTCCAGAGGGTTATAGGGGGTCCTGCACAGTGTAGGTTTCCGGGGCATTGCCAGAGGAAGGGGGGGGAATTTCCCAAAATCAGATGAGGGGGATCTTCCATGTTTTGGAAGTGTAGGTGGTATTTTAAATATTTAAATAGGCAAAAACTGACAGGTTCCCTGCTCTCAAGCGGCAAACAACAGTGGCAATGAATGAAAGAGACCGCGTGAGCGCAGGGAGGGAAGAAAATAGACAAATGCCATTACAGATACTGAAAGCTTAGTTTCACTGGATTAAACTGGGATTCTCAGAATGCTGAATTTTACATTCAGTAGTTAATGCTGTACTTGTGTCCCACTCACAATGTTTATTAACTTTATAGAACAAGGATTGCACCCACACGATATCATTTATCCTAGCTAGTGCTTCAGTCGTGTGCTAATTATTATTATTATTGAGGGAACCAGGACATCTATAACTTTATAGTTTCAGTTTTAATATATTATAAAATTATTGTTGGATATATTTAAGACTTCCCTCCTCCCTTCCAATGCAGGTCGAAAAAAAGTTAAAAGAAGATCGTGAGAAACAAGCGGATACGGACTATGTCAGACAAAAAGAACGCATTTTATTATTCAAGGAGCAGGAATTCCAGAAGTACGCAAAGAAAATCATTGATGAGCAATCCAAGACAACTCGGAATCTCTACCCTCTTTTGAAAGCACTCAGTGAAGGTGACAAAGGTATAAACAGACCAGTTTTTAGAGAAAATGAACAGCCGTGTGAAAAGCAGCCTACTAAGCTGCCGTTTATAGGTGACACAGCTCAAGAAATGAAATGGTTAAATGAATATGAATATGGGCACACGAAGGGTCGGCTAGGTTTTTCATGGTAAGGAAAACCCTTCCGAATGCTACAGTGAACGTCTAATGCATTTTTAAATTACCCCAAATTGTAGTAGAAAATTAACAAGTTTAAGATGCCTTAATAAAGGTTGCAACCATCCAAATATATTTACGTATAACTTTGAAAATCCGTAGCTCTAATGATGGGTAGCATTTAGAAGTTCCAAAACAGCCATTCACACCTTTCTATTCAGTTTTATTTCAGGAATATCTACTCCTTTAATCCTTCAGTTTCTGCCACCTGTACGAACACCAAAAATAACACGCACTTCGCGAACAAACCATTTGCTCTACCTCTTCCGTTTAAACTTTTTAGGCTAAAAGCATTAACTAGCCACTTAGTTCTAAACATAAGATTCCTGATCGGGTATTTGCCTCTTGATGGCCAAAATCCCACCCATGGCTATTTTTCTTTCAATAGCTGGCATGCCACTCCCTAATCCCGATCAAGATTGTGGCATTGTGGGGAGGTATATGCAATTTAACCCTCGCTATGCTCTCAGTCTGGATTGGACTCCCCCTCTCCTGCTTTTTGCACTCGAAGCTAATGGATGCTCCCCTGGGGCCCCCATGGACATAGCAGGCAGTGATCTGGATTGGGACCACGGTGGGAGAGGGGCAAAAAGAGTTAAAGCCCACCTACCCTCCATTGCACTGGTTATTTGTGAAAGAGAAAAACGTCATGCATTGGAGGGACTGTGGCACTCAAATTAGGGAGCCATATACAAGGAAGTATCTGTAGTTGGGAACAGAGGTGCTTATCCTTTCCCTCACCCCCTGGACTGGAAAACCTCATCTTGGGCCAGACGGAATATAAAGTAGTTAGGTCTGCAGAATAAATGCAACAGGAAGACAGCATCTCTTGTTCCCTTTCAACTGCCCCTTGCTGCTTTGCGTGTCAGTTTGGGAAGTGCCATCAACTTGGATGATTAAAAGGAAGATGAGCAGTGGTTGGTTTTCTACACAAAGCAGGAATAGTTCGACCCTTAGTATGCATAAGTCATGAACTATGTACCTGTAGATCTTCTGTCACCCCTTCTTGATCAATCGTCATCTAGCCTTTAAACAATATTTTAATCAACAGATAACTAAGACCTCAGTATAAGTGCCTCTTTGATGAACAGTGAAAAGAAACAATAATTTATCTTAAGTGTGAGATGGCTTACAACGTAGTAAAGGATAATTTGCAGCTATGCACTGTTTACTTGTAATAAAAGCTTTGTTATGACATCATTTTGCAGTTTTGGAGTTGACATAGCGCCCAGGGAAGAATATTGTTCAGTGTTGACTTTTATAAAGCAAAACTGTTTATAGAAATGCATTGGAAACATCTTTACCAAAAAAGAATAACAGTGGTGTTTTAAATAAAATAAAAACAAACTGCAGCATTTATTTATTACATTTCTGTCCTGCCTTTCCTCCAGGGAGCTAAATGCAATAAAAATGGGATCCCGAAATGGTTTTCCCCATCCAGGTACTGACCAGACTCAGAGCTACTTAACCTTAGCGTGGTTCCTGTTATCATGATCTTCAGATGCTGCTTAAGGCCAATTTAAATTGGATCCTCCAACCCAATTAGTGTCATACCTCTGGTGTTGCAAAGGAGATATGCAGACAAAATAAGTTTTCCTTTCAGGTTTGGAAATTGCTTGCACAAGGTGGGTGCGGATATACAACTGGCGTTGGGAATTCAGGCATCTAGTATTTGCATTGCATGTAGGTAACTTGTTGGTTCCATGCCTCTCAGTAAGGCACAATAGGAGGCCACCTACAGGCAAGGTCGGGGGATCTACCTACTGGGGAACTCCCCTGGTATAAAGGGATACATTAGTTTGTGGTTTTAGTGATGTCACCTGGAGATAGTAGCTTAGCTTCAGAGTTCTATTTATTAGCAGCTGCCACAAGGCCAACCAGTTCAACAGCGAAGAGCCCATGGAAAATCTTGATGCTGAAGCTGGGGTACAGGTTACATTCCAGAAAACACCTCTCCACAAAGGCTGGCATTCAAAATCCTATTTTGTAGTAAAACAGGGTCCTTTGGGGTTGCAGAACCTGAGACATGCAAAGTGACATACAACAGAGACCAGGCCTACAGTGCAGCCTATTGTATAGATGCTTGAGACAGCAGCGATCGTAGTTGAGCCATGGAACCACTTCATATAGCTGAAACAGGACCTCATTACCCCACATGGTATTTTAGAATCAAACTGTTAGAAGAAAAGATTACAGATATGGCTGCTAGTCTGAATAGGACTTAATTTAGAGGCAGCTCTTTGGATCAGGAGATTCATGACCTAAATAGAGAGAAAATGAGACAAGTAGGATCAATTATATATATCAGCTTACGAGAATAACTCGTACTGCCGTTTGACTTCCCTACCTTGCTGCATTACTGTAGACCAGGGCTTTCCAAACTCTTCATGTTGGTGTGACACACTTTTTTAGGCATTTCATGACACAGTAATTCAGTTTTACTAGCAAACCAGAGGTTAAACTAATCCCTTTCCAGCCCTGGGAAGAGCACAGGGAGCGTTTGTGCACACTGAAGCCGACACACTAACATGTCGCAACACACAGCTTGGAAAGCTTCGCTGCAGACTGTACTGTTGCTAGTTTCTAGTATCGGTGTCATGTTTTCTGCCATGAGCAATGTCAAGCCAGCCCTAGCACATGACAGCCAGTTTACTCTATAGCCAGAAATATCACGTGGCATAGCTTTGCTGGGAGTGTATCACTTCCAACTTCAAGTTGTGGGTTGCCTGCTAGAATACACCTCCCTGCATGAAGAAAACAAACAAATCGGGGAAAGCTAAGGCAGCCCTTTTGCACATGTGAGAAGGTGTTTGTTTTAGATAAGGAAATGAAGGAAGAAACAATACCCACTTGCAGTATGAGTTGATAGGGTCTTAACAGTGTGCTACTGCATGATGACTGAATGTGCAGTGGAAATTCTTTCAGGGGAGGGGTTTAAAACACTGCTATTGGATACAGTGGAATCTTCTTTGAGTCTCAAGGTGCTTTCAGGCAGGTGCTTACTGTGGGATTCATGCTTCCCATGCAAAAAAGGTAAAGGACCCCTAGACGGTTAAGTCCAGTCAAAGGCGACTGGGGTGGCGGCACTCATCTCGCTTTTCAGGCCAAGGGAGCCGGCATTTGTCCACAGACAGCTTTCCGGGTCATGTGGCCAGCATAACTAAACCGCTTGTGGCGCAACGGAACACCATGATGGAAACCAGAGTGCACGGAAATGCCGTTTACCTTCCTGCCGCAGCGGTACCTATTTATCTACTTGCACTGGAGTGCTTTCGAACTGCTAGGTTGGCAGGAGCTGGGACAGAGCCACGGGAGCTCACCCCCTACTGTGGATTCGAACTGCCAACCTTCCAATCGGCAAGCCCAAGTGACTCAGTGGTTTAGACCACAGCGCCACCCGTGTCCTGCTTCTGATGCAAGCAAATTTAGGGCAGTGTCTGCACAGCGTTTATTTAGGATTTACCCTTTCTGAAAGGGGAGGCTCGGAGAAGTTTTTATAACTATTGTCAATGACCCATTTGCAATATCCCAACAACCTGTCTTCAGATTAAGCCATCCAAACACCCTCACTGAGTGATAATCATAGAATTATAGAGTTGGAAGGGGCCATAAAGATCATCTGGTCTATCCCTTGCAATGTAGGCATCTTTCATGCAATGTGAGACTTGAACCCATGACCCGAGATTGAGTCTCATGCTCTGTCCTCTCGGATATCACGGTGAGGACATAGGTGCTTCACATCGTTTACGGCAGCCAAAGCAAAAATATATGAAGAAATGATTTGGCTGTATATTTCAGGCTACTCAAAATGTATCCTGTTTCCCTTTCTCTTCTAATTTCCATCGCAGTTATTACCCTCACTTCCAGTCATTTCAGTTTTATGAGGCGACTCAAAGGAAACGGTGACACGGGTGGCGCTGTGGGTAAAACCTCAGCGCCTAGGACTTGCCGATCGTCAGGTCAGCGGTTCGAATCCCCGCGGTGGGGTGCGCTCCCATCGTTCGGTCCCAGCGCCTGCCAACCTAGCAGTTCGAAAGCACCTCTGGGTGCAAGTAGATAAATAGGGACCGCTTACCAGCGGGAAGGTAAACGGCGTTCCGTGTGCTGCGCTGGCTCGCCAGATGCAGCTTGTCACGCTGGCCACGTGACCCGGAAGTGTCTGCGGACAGCGCTGGCTCCCAGCCTATAGAGTGAGATGAGCGCACAACCCTAGAGTCTGGCAAGACTGGCCCGTACGGGCAGGGGTACCTTTACCTTTACTTAAGTCAACAAAGTACATGGAGCCATCAAAGCAAAAATAGAATTATCATTCCATTGTCTTATTTTTTATCAGAAATACTCCCTGGGACAAGACTATGGAAAACCTCACAAATAATTTCACGGAAGCATATGTAAAACGTTTGTGTCCGACTGCTGCTACATTTACTTAGGACAGGCAAAGTACAGTACCATCATAAGTCAGATACTTGAAATATTTTACATACTGTAATAGAATTTTTGTTGGTTTAGAATATGAACATCCCCTATATATATTCCTAATTGCACTACTGTTTGGTTCCATTTGGTGTTTGCATTTGGTTTTCTTGTGGTCGGTACGGACTTGACCTTGAATAAAAACCAGATGTCTGTCTGTCTGTCTGTCTAGCAGCCAGCCAGCTTTAAATAATAAATAATAATAATAATAATAAAGATCAACAGCCTGATCCTATGCATAGGTGAAGAAACAGCTGTAGTTCAGGTTCAATCCTTCCAAAAGCATTGAAATATCCCTTATCTGGAACCTTAGAGAGCTACAACCAGCCACAACAACTAGATGATACTGACCTACATGAACCAATGGTCTGACTCACTATAAAGGCAGCTTCTGATGTACCTGGAAGAAAGTCCCACTGATTGTTTGACATTTAAAAATGCTTTTAAAAGTTTTTGGAAGAGGATAAAAATAATAGCTCACATCAATTTATTTTGGCATCGTGCTGTGCCAGAAAATGTCATACGGCTGATTACCAAAGGAAAATATATAAGTGTATGCAACACGCTGTTTTTCTTTGGTCTGTGTGCTACTTTGGACTGCATTGCCTAGAAGGACTAGGCGAAAGTGTACAAAAGTGCTTATCTAATGACATTTTGACTGACAGTTTTTTTTGTAAAAAAAAAAATTCCTAAGTAGGGCCAGCCCTCATAGTCAATTTCCTCCAGCAATATCTGGTAAGGATCAGATAAGGCTGTGCAGCTTTCCATAGATCGCAGGGCACCGTCTTCAACTTTCTCGAGCAGCCGACAACAAAGTCGAGCAGATGTTATCGCCATCGCACAGGAAACTCTGTTCCCGCTTGTGTTCAGCAAAGCACAAACGCAGGAAGAGTGTCGGGTTGGTTAAAACCTAATGAAGGTTTGCTGAGATGTATTCAGCTAATAACATATCATGTGTCCGATAAGGTTTGACAGCTAAGGTGCCACCCAACATGTTGATGCAGGCACGTGAAGAAAGCATCGATCCACTCGGATATTCTCTGTGTGTACAGTTAACAAGCGGAGGGAGGAGGGGGACCATGCTGTTAGACCCATCTCACGTCCAGCTTTCGCACGTAGACATAGCATAACACAGTGGGTTGGGCCGCTGTGTGAGTTCAGCAACAGGGCAATGAGACCAGGGCAAACTATTCTCCCTCTTTTTGACCTAAGAAGTTACCAAACTCCAAAGCAATTAATTCAACAAACAAATATATTCAGATAGGAAGCCAACTGGGGTATACATTGAAAGAGTTCCCTTTGGGGCTCCCTGGCTGGTACCTCCCACAATTTTTCTGCATCTAACTAGTCCATGACATTGCCTTACTGTGAGGAGGAGCATCTCCACCCCCATCGTTCAGCCCGGACGCTGAGGTCCAGCGCCGAGGGCCTTCTGGCTGTTCCCTCACTGCGAGAAGTGAAGCTACAGGGAAACAGGCAGAGGGCCTTCTCGGTAGTGGCGCCCGCCCTGTGGAACGCCCTCTCATCAGATGTCAAGGAAAGAAGCAACTATCTGACTTTCAGAAGACATCTGAAGGCAGCCCTGTTTAGGGAAGCTTTTAATGTTTGATGTTTTATCGTGTTTTTAATATTCTGTTGGGAGCCGCCCAGAGTGGCTGGGGAGACCCCGCCAGATGGGAGGGGTATTAACAACAACAACAACAACAACAACAACAATAATAATTAAATTGCATTGCATTGTATAGAATGTGACATACACAACTGCCTGCCATAGCTGTCAACTTACAGATTTGAAAATAAGGGACCAGCAGCTTTCAAAATAAGGGACCAGCAGCCAAAATAAGGGACCTGCAGCCTCGCCTATTCCAGGCACTCCAGTCTTCCTG